ACAGGTTGTTTTGAAAATTGGAAAAACTGGGAAAGGTAAAAAGTTTCAAGATTTAAGTAATATTTTACATATTATGTGCGATTAATGACTGATTTTTCTGGGTTTTTTTGCAGCTATATTTCCACTGCATTACTAAAGCAGAAAAGGCTTTTTATGCCTATTTTGACCACTTTTTGGAAATTTACAGGAATGTAAGTGCTTTTGATAATGTGTAAATTGCTTTCACATTATTACAAATTCAAATACATTTTCAATGTTTTCATGAATCTGGAGGCATGCTGCTTTAAAGTTGTCTATAAATTTTAAGTTGTTACTGATTGATGTTTCAAGTGATAGAAAAACCATCAGTACTAAATTCCAATTTTTTTGAAGTGCTTGATAAAGTCTGTGAAATAGTGTTTCAAAAGACTGTGACCTACAAATTTTAGGAGAAGTGATTTATATAAAGTGTACATCTTAAATGTTAACTTAAGCATTATTCTTAACGGTAAAACAAATAAGTATTCTCAATCTCAACATATATTTTAAAGTCAATGTCAACACAATTTTCCATTATCACAAGCATGGATAATGCAAATTTATAGCTAAAATAACTTAAAATGATATTAACTTTCTAAAACAAGAGGGCCATGATGGCCCTGAGGTCGCTCACCTGTATATAGGCCCCCCCACCCCCGGGCCAATTTTTACCCAAGGGCTTTTATTTGTTTATTTGAACAGACTTGGTAGACACCCATAAGAAGATGTTTCATGCTAAACATCTAATTTCTAGCTCATTGGGTTTTTTAAAAGAAGATTTTTAAAGTTTTTACTATACACATATAGTTAAAAACAATGACACCCCTGGGGCAGGGCCAGTTTTGACCCCCGGGCTTTTATTTGAACAAACTTTGTAGATATTTACTTAAAGATGTTTCATGCTCAATATCTAAACTCTAGCTATTTGGGTTTTTTCAAAGAAGATTTTTTAAGTTTTTGCTATACACATATAAGGAAAATCAATGACCCCCCCCACCCGGGCGGGGCCAGTTTTGACCCCAGGGCTTTTATTTGAACATACTTGGCAGACACCCATTAGAACATGTTTCATGCTAAATATCTTAGCTCTAGCTCTTTGAGTTCTTTAAAAGAAGATTTTTTAAGTTTTTACTATATGCATATAGGGAAAATCAATGACCCCCTGGGGCGGGGCCAATTTTGACCCAAGGGCTTTTATTTGAACAAACTTGGTAGACACTTATTAGAAGATGTTTCATGCTAAATATCTTAGCTCTAGCTCTTTGGGTTCTTTAAAAGAAGATTTTTAAGTTTTTACTATATGCATATAGGGAAAATCTATGACCCCCTGGGGCGGGGTCAATTTTGACCCCAGGGCTTTTATTTCAACAAACTTGGTAGACATTCACTAGAAGATGTTTCCTGCCAAATATCTAAGCTCTAGCTCTTATGGTTCTTTAAAAGAAGATTTTTTAAGCTTTTACTATATGCATATAGGGAAAATCAATGACCCCCCGGGGTGGGGCCAATTTTGACCCCAGGGCTTTTATTTGAACAAACTTGGTAGACACTCACTAGAAGATGTTTCATGCTTAATATCTTAGTTCTAGCTCTTTGGGTTCTTTAAAAGAAGATTTTTTAAGTTTTTACTATATGCATATAGGGAAAATCAATGACCCCCTGGGGCGGGGCCAATTTTGACCCCAGGGCTTTTATTTGAACAAACTTGGTAGACATTCACTAGAAGATGTTTCATGCTTAATATCTAAGCTCTAGCTCTTACGGTTCTTTAAAAGAAGATTTTTTAAGTTTTTACAAAATGCATATAGGGAAAATCAATGACCCCCCGGGGTGGGGCCAATTTTGACCCCAGGGCTTTTATTTGAACAAACTTGGTAGACACTCACTAGAAGATGTTTCATGCTAAATATCTTAGCTCTAGCTCTTTGGGTTCTTTAAAAGAAGATTTTTTAAGTTTTTACTATATGCATATAGGGAAAATCAATGACCCCCTGGGGCGGGGCCAATTTTGACCCCAGGGCTTTTATTTGAACAAACTTGGTAGACACTCACTAGAAGATGTTTCATGCCAAATATCTAAGCTCTAGCTCTTGGGGTTGTTTAAAAGAAGATATTTAAAGATTTTTCTTTTGGTTGCCATGGCAACCAGAGTTCTGCATGGAATTAAATTCTTTGAACAATTTTTAAAGGTGACCACCAAAGGAACATTCCTGTGAAGTTTGGATGAAATTGGCTCAGTGGTTTATGAGGAGATGTCATTTAAAGCAAAAGTTTACGGACGGACGGACGGACGGACGACGGACGGACGACGGACGGACGCCGGACGAAAAGCGATCACAAAAGCTCACCCTGTCACTTTGTGACAGGTGAGCTAAAAATGAAATTTTAACAAAAACGACATCGCCAAAGGCAATTTAGGCGAGAATATTCCAATTTTTCTTCTTTCATAAAAAAACAACAAAACAAACCAACTTCGCTGAAATCTATATTTCCCAAGCTATTCAGTAAGAAGATATCCGCCCATACAATTTATGTGGTATTTACTATCCTTACCAATTAGTGCCACTTTTACAGGTGAGCTAAGCTTTCTATCTTCTTAACAAAATAGCAGACTTTAGACTAACAAAACAGCAGACTTTAGACTTCAACAGTTCAGTGACATGTTGAATAAATGACAATTTTGATGCAATTTAACAATTTTAGTTATGAATTAAGAGATCATTACCAGTGTAAATTTCTGATTAAGTAAACATTTACTGCTTTTGCTAACTGATGTTGAGAAATGCACAGAACTGTCAATAATATTGTTATGCTTGTCATCAATGATTTTCTGTTAAAATTTCAAATGAACAGACATTTTTTTTCTGATAGCATGCATGTATATGCATGTATATTGGATGATTGCAATGTAAAGCAGTTGCACAAAAACAGATGTATGCATAAGTATACTGGTAAATATCTATTTTGAAAAAATTCAAAGTTCTGTACGGCTTTTCAAGTATTTGCAAAAATTTGCACAAAGAAAAGATGTAACATTCTAGTCCTTATAGATAGAGACTTTCTACTGACAATGTTTCATATCTGAGCTCAAGCCCTTGAGGTTTTATAGAGAAAACTTTTAAAGTTTTTTCTTTCGGTTGCCATGGCAACCAGAGTTCTGCATGGAATGGATTTTTTTTTAACAATCTGGAAAAAAGCTTCATGCTATGAACAAATGTTTTAGCAGGAAATGTTGCTTGAAAGTTAACAAAAATTTACAACAGACATGAGATACAGCATGGTCACAAAACCTCACAAAATTATGAAAAAGTTACGACTCTTGCACACTGCACTGACCTCCTGACTGTTACCTCAAATTTTTTTCGAAATAAGCTGCAGACAAAAATAACAGAGGGCAATTACTCAAAAACAACTATGTCTAGAGTTATCATTCTTGTGTACTGCACTCCTTCTATATCAGATTTCAGATTTATTTACCTATAAAGTTTCATTAGTTGATATCTAAAATAGTTTTTGAGTTATCCTCAGACAAATATGTTGGATAGACTGACAGAGACTATTACTATGACACCTGCTGCCTTTTTAGTAACTGAAGCCAGGACCCTTCCCAAAAGTAACTGGAAAAGGCCGTATTGGGGTGGGGGGAAAATCCCGGGATCCGGGACGACTGGGATCGTATAAGATATAGAGGGAAAACTAATATTAAACTATATTTGTGTTGATTATTGTCGTAATGAAATGCGATTAAACGTTGTATTGTATGTACTAATGAACGTTAAACTAATTTAACTTAGGATCTAAATATATTTAGAGCTATTTATTAACAAACTTAAAATGCGGAAATCACAATACTTATAATTATATGCCTAATTAATTGGAAAAATTAAAGACTATATTCTTGAATTGTTCAAATCCCGGGATCCTATACTGGTTTGGTAGATAAACTCGGTCGAAAATCGGTGTTTTTGGGGCATATTTCATTTATTTGTTTACGTATTCTGATGAATCTTGCACAATAATAAACTTCAGCTCTTTGATATTCTGGTATCACCATAAAAGTTATATTTAGAAACAAGACGGGTAATTTTGAGAGGCCCTGAAAGAGGTACGTAAAAAGCACATTTTTAACACGCGCGAGTAGATAATTTCAGCTCTTTGTTTTTCTTCTTAAATCATTTTTAATGAGTAAATTAAAAAGTAGAATAACATGTTTAGACATTTTATTATTCCTTTGTTATTCATATATGTCAAATAAAAAAATATTTTTTATCAGAAATTTTCAATAAGGACTGTTACTTTTATACAATGTTATGTAAAAAAAAAACAACAAAAAACTCAGATACTTTTTTTGTAAAAAGACATGCATTTTCATTTATTAACATACGAAATATGTAGTTTTAGAATTAGTGATTCAAATGTATTTTGGCTTGGGTAACTTCATAATTTAACAGAGCGAAGAAGAAATTAATTTAGTGGTATTCAACCTACACAATAACATTTAGAGCATTAATTTTAACATCAGTTTTTCAATCCATTGCACTAAAAGATTACATTTGTGATTATTTGTGCAATCGGAGTTTTTCTGAGTTTGCAAGACAAAATTGAGTCTAAATTCATCTACAAAATGTATCCGTGAACATCGTCTGCTTTACCAGTTGTCGGTCAATATATAAAAGTATCTCTGTATGGGCCTCAAAATGAGCATCTACTGCGCATGCATACAGCAATCTGATTTCCCGTACTATTTATAGGCATTTTTTTTAAACAAACGGGTTAAAGTTTGTGCTATTTTTTAAATATCTTACCAAACTCGACAAAATTTCCAGATATTGTCAAATTCCAGCGTTCGTACAAGGTGGTGAGCTTGATTACATTAAAAAAGCCGTTAAGTCGATTAAATTATAAAAAGCCGAGTTTATCAACCAGCAGAAGTTATCTCCCCAACCAGTATGTTTTAATACGATCCCGGCTTTTCTGAAAACTATATTCTTGAATTGTCAATTCCCTGGATCCCTATATGTTTTAATACGATCCCGGCTTATCTGAATTTCCGGGATCCCTATATTTTTTAATACGATCCCGAAAATCGTGAAAAAAATACATTATTTTTAAAGATTTTTATAACTACTACAAATCAAACTTATTCAGAAATCTCTACAAAACATTCAAATGATGATGATAACAATAAATAGTAATAATAATAATAATAATAATTCACCGAGAGTAGGTGGTTAATTCCCGGGATTACTATATGTTTAATACGATCCCGGGTCCCGGCTTTTCTATAGGCGATCCCGGGATTTCCCCCCACCCCGTATTGGGCCAGGGCAAAAATGTCCTATAGACCAGTTGAGGCCAAAATGACCTGAAACCTGTGACTGAAACTGGTACAACAATTTAACACTTTTGACAAGATTTTCCTGTGGCATAATTTAACATTTAAATAATTTTTTTAGTTAATTCAAAATTTGTCATGAACCAAGGTAACAAACTGTGGAATTAATAACACTAAATCTAAATGCGATTAAGAATTTATCAATCCTAAATGCGTCTGCGTGATCGGATACCAATGATCAACGGAGGTAAAAACGAAGCATTTATGTGAAAAATACTAATTTTGTACCTCAACTACTCACATGACAGTGTGCTTCACTTTTTTATCGGGCAATATCCGGTTTAATTCCAGTAGAGGATTATAATTAAAGCTCATCTTTTATCTAAATGAAAATTGACAGCTCACTTGTTGTGATAGATCAGTGTCATTCAGGCGCTCCGAAATTCTCGGCCGTCAAATTTCGGTCGAGGTGTTCCGATTATTCCCGCGCTGGAAGTTGAAGATGAATATCCTCAGCAAATCTTATCCGAGGGTACAAATGCTGAAGGATTGGCTGCACGATAACATTGATGATGACCTTTTGAAATATAATACTATGGACACCGATTCTCACCAAAGGTGTGTTTTTTAATTGAATCTGCTCGGCCCACGAAATTACGTATGCCAAAAAGATGTTTCGGCCCAAAACAAAATCGACCCAATGCAAAAATAATCGTAAGACAATCGGCTCTACTTTGGGATACACTTAGACCCTTACTATAGTTACAACACCTAGGCCCTTTCTATTGTCACAGGGTGAGAAAAATGGGGGGTTGCAGTAAGGGTGTAACGGTTTACCGGTATACCGATATATTGCAATATGAAAAAATAAATTTCGAACCGCGGTACGATTTTTGGAAAACCGGTATTTTATAAAAATCATCATTTTCAATTAATTGCCTTCTAATTTTGTACAAATTTCACATAAAATCTTTAATTGGCAAATTTTGTTGGCGCCAACGTAAGATAAAAGTATCCGACAACTAGTACACTTAAAAGTCAATAAGCGGCCGCATAATTTACATAAGCGGCCCATATGTGAAAGGTCACACACGACTAGTTTTGTTTATCAAATTGTGTGACACTACTTTCTATTTATTCCTTACATTTTTGTTAAGTTTCTACTAAAAATATATACATATAATAATAATATATAAATGTTACTCCATCTTTACATCAAAACATATACACGACAATACGTATTGCAATATATTGCAATACGCTTCAGCAAAATGGCAATATATTGCAATACGGTTTTTGCTGTATTGTTACACCCCTAGGTTGCAGTCTGACTGGGACTTGAACCCTAGACCCTCAGAATATGGATCTCTGGCTCTACAGACAGAGCTTACACATCTTCTCCCCTAAATAATGAACAGTTCTGAACCGTGACATACTCCCACGCTATATTGAAATTCATCCCCAAATTTCTCAGGGTTACAGAGCAATGCTAATTTAAGCTATATACAGTCACGGTCCCCCGTTGGGCTCCAATCCAAAAGATAAGGTTTGTTGGCCGCTGTGAGTTACAATACTTGACACCTGGACAGATAGTCTATAAATACACAATTTAATGCACTTTCAAAGAGTTTATGGCTCACGTCATCAAAATCTTTCAAAATAGTGTCATGCGTAGTGTGAAGTAGAAGTAGGAAGTCGGATAGAAGCCCGTAATTGTGGTTAGAGGTTAGTATATGACCAATATGGGAATGAATGAAACATATGATGAAAAAGTTATTGGACATTTAATAGGACAGATTCACAACAAACACTGTGATGATATATGTAACTGGAGATTAAGACTGCTGTTTATTTTTGTCCAACTAGGCACACACCCTGCTACTTTGTCTTTATTATATGTTTTTATGATTGTTGAGAAAGGTATATTTTGTACCTGGTAAACATGTAAATAAAAGAAAATTAGGCCAACTAGCTGAAGATATTGGCAGTCTTTTAGTATTTAAATGTTCATAAGTTGATTATATAAACATATATCTTTGCATGTTTTTGTAATAGAAATAAATTAATGAATTAGACACTATATGCTTATGGCGGCTTAACAGTTAATCAGCTGTTCTATTGGACATACATAATCCCTTGGTTCTCAGCTGTACTTCCTGAAGTCCTGAACTATAAATTAATAAATACATTTGTAGCTATTATGTGAATATGTAATTTGAAAAAGTCTGATTGCTTGATAAAAAGTAATATAAATTTATCAGCATGTAGAGTAGGGTAGGTTAAATATGGGCAGGTCTGGTGAGATAAGATTAGACAAGGTTATTATACAAAATGGGAAAAATTTCAACTATGCCCATCATGATTTTCTTTTATTTTACAGTTTCAAGCAGTTGCTATGTTCTGTATATGTGTGTGACAATACAGAGAAATATCCGATGTCTGCCTCGCCAACATCTTGTTATGAGCAGAGAGAACTGGTTTTAACAGCTATTGAGGTGAGTTTGTTGTGTTGTTCAACATATTTCTAAATAACAGAAATTTTATACTCTTTTTGTGTTAACCTTTTGGTGGCTTTATTGCTTTAGTAAAATATTTCTGTGTTAAATGACCATATTGACACATTAAGCAACTTCCACTTATATACATTTTTGTTTAAATACAAATTAAAACAAAAAAACTTTTTATATAGGAGCCTTGTTTTACAAGCTGTCATAGTTACTTGATCTTTGAAAATTTATTTAATGATGGATATAGGGTCATCATTTGTCATCCTTTACAATGGCTTGAACAATTTGTATTTATGTTTGACCTAGAGTCATCCTATCCACCTTGTTTTCAATATACATGTTTAGTCTTCTATTTTTAGAGAGCTTTGAGCAAGAGTGGACCTTGTAAGAATCTCCTCTCATATGGATTTTGTTTGGTATGTTGTTTATATTTTTCAAAGTGTACTGTATTTTCTTTGACTGTACAAGGTCAAAAGAGTGCTTGGCAACAGCTGTTGGCGATGTCTGCGTCTAGATTTTTTATTAAAAAAATTTGTGAAGTGAAATGTTTCTTACATAATTTTCCTTACTGCTGAAGGAATTTAGTTTATATGGTTCACATATTAAACAGTTGCAAGTTATAAAACTGTTTGCTCCCATGGACAAGATGATAAGTAAGTTTATTTGACTTAAACAATTTGAATGAATTGCCTTAACTGGGATTTGAACTCCAGACCTCTTGCTTCCTAAGCGAGCGCGCAAACCCCTCAGCCACGATGAAGTTATATGTTAACAGTCTGAAGAAAACCATATTATTCTAAATTGGGGTTTTTAAAACCCCTTATTATTGAAAGATGTAAAAAAATCAAGGAGTTTTACTATAAGAAAGATATCTTTTAAAGCCCTAAAACAATTTTTAAGAAATTTCGACCATTTTTAAAAACTTTTTTTGCTTAAAAATTTTAATGCCCTGCATTTGCCCATCTTCACGCATTTAAATTTTTCCTTTCTGGAATTTTTTGGCTTTGGGTTTTTAAAAAAAGCGGACTATTTTCGGCATTTCCAATTAACAGAAATCAAAAGTCGGGAAATTTCGTTTACCATTTTTTTGTTTTTTTTTGACCCCCCAAAAAAAATTTAAAAACCCTCTCTTTCGGGCAATTGGAACCCAATGCCCTTTTGGGTGGTCCAATTTTACATTCAGTTTGCTAAAATAGGCCATATTTTTGATATTGATTCATAAAAACCTTTTAGAAAATACTTTCATGAAATACTGTCCTGTTAACTCAATAGGTAGTGCGTTGGACTGTGAATAGTGTGACCTGTGTTCGATTCCCGAAACATTGCAGGTCACTTTCGTTGTGATTGATCATGAAATTCTTTTTACTGTCATTTGCACTGTACCTCTGCTCTGGCATATACAGAATTTATCAGTTACTTGCTAAAATGAAAACAACTTATTCCGGTAAACTGCTTGACAGCCTGCCCAGGAACAATGCGGTGGCTGAACTGTGCTCTAGTGAATTCAATGTAGATCACTTCCGTGATCTTAAGGGGAAACAACCAACACCACCACCACTTCTTTCAAGAAGATCAAACTCAAATTGACTTTGACAATTATATGATTGTTGAGTTATTTGATTTTATAAAAGGTAATTTTGTATATTAATGAAACAGATGTCTCCAGACCCATTTTCACATAGATGTGGTGTCAATGTTGAGAACAGATATCCTAACTCCTGCGTTAATAAGCTCTTCTACCCTGCATGGGAAATTTTACTGTCAAAGTGAGTAGATTTTCTTTATGGTGTTAAACCTTTATTCAGCCCAATTTACTAGGCTCTATTGCCATTTTTTACCACAAACAACTTTTGCATTCTAATCAGGCTCAATACTGTTGGCTACCAACATCATTATTATTTCATGATCCTATTAGGTTAAGGGCTAGTTAGAAGTTTCGATCAAGTGTTTTGTATTATAAAGCAGGAGGTATCATTCCAACACATTTACTTGTTACCTTTACAACAATTGGAAGAAGATAAGACAGCTAACTGACTGTCCTAGGGACCAGGTTTCAAAATAATTGATCTAAAAGTGTTTGGAAAGTGAAATATTTTGTTAAGAAAGAGTTACTTGAAATGACAGTTATGGAATGTTAAAATTTCTTAAATGACCAATGTTATAACCTTAAGGAAAGATGTGGTGATATATTTATTACTTTGCCTAGCATCAGTTCATTGGTTGAATGGTTGGATGTTCTATTGACATAATGACCATTTTTTAATGACTATTGTTATGCACCTGGTAATCCAATTACATCTGCAGTTTTTGTCTGCCCTGAACATTGTGTCTTTTAATTGTGTGGAAAAAAGAAATTATGAAGGAAACTTAGGTAGGGTTTTCTCTTGAGAATACTCTGCAAACCATCTTGACAACTTAGGCAATACCATGGTCATTTTGTTTTACATTTCAGAATAGGTGATACAGTCATGACATACTTGTTGGAACATACATCACTCTACTTATATATAGATACAGATTGTTTTGTGCAATTAACAGGTATTACATTCTTTTAAATTTTTACATAAAGCTTTTGTTGCACTTATCTCTTACCAAAAACAAATAGATATAGGTTTGGCATTGTCCATTTGAATGTTTGTCCTTCCATTTGTCTGTCTTTATGTTTGAAAAATGTCCATAAAATTAGATCCGTTTCAGTAAGAAACATAAAACTTCAAATGTGATTACATCATTCCATTAAAAGATGTGCAGTGCTCAAGAATCATTACTTTTTGCTAAAATATTGAATTCTTCCCCTTTTAAAGTTTTCATAAGTTTTGTTTTTGGGCATAACTACGACATGGGAGTTATCAGCTTGAAATTTCATTACATGTAATTGTTACTGAGGAACTATACGGTTATACCTCTCAAAGGTATTGTATAGGATTTATACACATATATATATACACAAGTTTAGAATAAAAGGATGTCGAGACATTGGGAAAGCTCTGGAAGGCAGTTAATTCAGTTTTGTTTGCAGCATATTTTCAAACAGTGAATTTTAAATTGTAATGTTTTTTGTGATGTAAGTTGTACAGACAAAGATTTTTGTTGACTATATACACAATTTAACATGCCAATAAATTATGATATTCTGCTTTTGTCCTGCCATCATTGATCTTTTGTCGTTGCATTGGTTGACTTTTTTCCTGACATTGGTTGTTTTTCTTGTTCTGATTTTAAATACATGTACTATGACACAATATAATATTGTTTAGTTGTACTGACCTGTGTTTTTCTTTTTCCCAATTTACATCTGATAGTGGCCCTAATGGCAACCTTGTTATTGGATATATTTTGTAAACTGGTTAAATACAACAAAATATTATCTATGGTAAATGTCATTATCTTGTCATAAAGAAACAAAGTTAATGTTTAAAATCTAACAGTTCTTTTGGTATGGTCACCTAAATGATAAACTTAAGCAGTAAGCATTTATGCTAACCATTGACACTCCTAGCAGTAACTATTAAATTTATGCTTTCATTTTTAGGATTACCTTTATTTGACCTTCTTAAACAAGACAAGAATGAGAAGAAGAAAATTTGTGATAAAGTTTTTAAAGAAGTTGATATACCTCGTACAAGAAAAACTAAAGTTGACGGAAATTTAAGAAGTAATAAAACTGATTCACCTACTGTCATAGAGACGGAACAAAATGGAACCCAGTTTGACTTTCACACTGATCATACAAGTTTTGATAAGATAACAGAGGTCACCAATAAGGCTGAAGGTATTTTAAACAGAACTCAAATTGAATGTTTAAGAAATATACCAGAAAACAAAACAAATGATATAGTTTTAGATAAAACTGAGGGAGGTGCAAATAAAAATCTGTTTACAAATTGTGCGACAAGTAGTAGATCTACCGAAGATACATGTAATAATAATCGAAAAAAGAAAAGAAAATATGAAGAAATCAGTGAACAAAGATTTCTAGATTTGAAAAGAGAAAGTGAACTTTATAAAATGAGGAACAGACAAGCTATAGATTGTCATTCGGCAGGCAGTTTTGATGATCTTGCAAATCAAGACTTAGGTAGTAAAGATGCCCTTACTGGTAACATTATTGATAAAATGGCAAAAAACTTGAGAAAAAGAAAATTTAGTGAAATATATTCTGAAACTGAAAATAGTGAAGATAATAAAAGTAAACAATCGTGTTTGGGTAATGGAAATCATACACAGAACGATGATATTGCAGGAAATATTGCAAATTGCATAGTAGAGACCACGGAAGAATTTAACACTATAAGAAAGCTACCAAACACGGGTATTAATGTTAAGGTTAAAAAAGATAGAAGTTGCAACGTTTTGTCAAAGATCAAACACAGAAAAAGACGTACTGAAAAGAAGAAATTGAAAAGTTCACAAGAGAAAAATCTTGGCTACTCATTTTGTCCTTTCGAGTAAGTATAATTGATGTTGATCATGGAACTTAAGTCACTATACAGGGTTCATACAGAGCAGACATTATAGATTTGTCTAGTGGTTGCTTTGAAATCTTGATCATATGTTTACGAAAAATAAATATGAAGATAATTGGAAGAAAAATTGGTGTGTGAATTAATGGCAAATAAATGGCAATATTATTATGGAGATTTATTTTCCTTTAATCAATGCTAGTTTATATGGCCAGAGTAAAAATTTGGCTTTAAATTTATGCACTGCCTGATATGTAAAACAGGGCCGGCAAAATCTCAGAAAATTGTACTTGTCCACGGACAAGTAACTTACAAAATTTACTTGTCCGTACTCGATGTTCACTTGTCCTTATTTATATTTAATATTTACTGCAAATGTCAATAAAGAAGAGCAATATGATCATGAACTTGTTTTCAATTTTATCAAACATTCTGTGCCATATGTTTAATAATATGATATATTATAATATAGTTTATATTAATAAAATATTAGCGGCAATAGATTAAAGTAGAACGGCAGTCAGATGGACAAAAAGTGTATATTTTACTGCAAGGGGCATTTCAGGTCTTTTGCCAGCACTTTTTCAGTTTTTGCTTGTGTCACTTGCACCCAAATTGGTCTATAAATATGTCTACTGTAAATTTTTTGCACTCTGGTACCATTTCTAATTTATTCACTCCTTATTCTATTCATCTATATAATTGGCGTCCGCGCCGAAGCGCGGCGCCCTTATGGAATAAAATCAGATTTTGTGAAAGGGCGACAGCAACTTCTCGAGCCTTTAAGTCGGTCATAATAAAAGCCGATCATTCCGATCGGTATGAGGGTGCTTGATTATTAATTAAGAATGAAATGTCGCGATATGTTACAATGAATAGCGAACTGGAAAATTTCGCAATGCAAACATTTTCAAATGAAATAACATTTTCCGTCAATAAATCGCGCCCTTCGGGGTTTTTTATTTATCATTTTGTAGTACAAAGTGGGTTATCATGGTATGTTATTGTTGTACATGTATCCTAGAATGATCAGTTGATGACCTAAATATTCCAAAAATCTATTTATAGATATATTTATTTATCACTCCTATCGGTAATTACCGGTCTCTCCCGGTCTATATTGACCGGGATTTACTAGTGACCGGCGAATAGTACCACACGTTTATTGCCCGGTCTCTCCCGGTTTTGGAGTAGATGTTTGATATTGTTACAATTAGAAAAAACAAAACAAAAATAGCATGTTTCATTTTATCTATATGAGATAAAAACAATAAATATGTACACGGATTTATATGTAATATAAATCCGGATTTATATATAATATAAATCCGTGATATGTACAATAATTGAGAAAAAGGTACATTTTTAAAATGACATTATCAACTTTGAAACATTTTATTTAATTTGTTATCCGTGTTTAGTAAAGATGCCGAGGAATTATTCAAAGTTACAAATTAGATTTTATGAATTATTCAATTAATTGATAATTTAAAACATGATAATGAAAAATACAAATGTACATGTACATGGTTTAAGAATAAACAATATTATATATTGAAAGATAAACCATAATTTACTGACTTTTTCCAGTTAAGCTTTGACTTATAATCGTCGGTCAATATGACAATTGAATTCTTAAAATTTATTTTACAATTTTAATAAAAAAAGAGTTACTTTTTATTTTACAATTTTAATAAAAAAAAGAGTTACTGTAGTAAAAACTCAGTATTAAAATAGCACATAAAACACAAAAAAGAAAAGAAAACAATATTCATAAAATTTGTTTTTTTTTAATTAAAATTAATAGATATTACAATTATTGTATAATAAACAATTATGCTCAACATGATCAACATGGTAATATAACCAGTGTCATATTTTTACTAACTTAAAGTGTGAACAGATACCTTAAGAGGGGGTCTTCGCTAATAGCGATAACATAATAAGGGACAATTACAAAGTTGTGGTACGTGTCGATCATGCGTTACACATATGGATTATAAATGAGTGCATACATGTATATCCGTTGCTATTAAAAACCAAGATCATAAAGAAATAACAAGTAATATTCTAATCTCTAGTATGCCAATCAAAGTTCATAATGAACAATGTCTTTTGTCCGCTCATTTATAAGTGATATACATTTCTGGTAGTTTATAAGAATATCTTGTCATCATATGTGTACTAGTTCATCTTCACTTGCTGCATTTCTTGCTTGGACGCCCTTTGATGCTTTGCATCAATGCTTTTCTTGTATTCATTTGAATCCCGTTAAAAAACCATATGTGATCAAGAGTTAGATTTGTCAAATTGATGACATCTGACTTTTTTTAACGATATATGATTATCACAGAACATAATATCATATACATATATACGCTTGGTTGCAGCAGATGAATTGTGAAAATTTTGACATCAGTATCATCGGCGACGAAATCTGACATGTATACATTAACACCAGTATTAGACAGCATGGAGCTAAATATAAGACAAAACAAAGGCATTTTCACTAGAAATCTTTACATGAAATAAATTATAAAATGACTTTGTCGACATAAATTCAAGCAGTCAAATTGCTGTTATATTTCAACTAATTAATCCCGAATGACCTGAAAAGGTTATATTTAATTTTCATACAACACAGCGATTATAATTTCAAAGACAATTGTTGCGATATGATCTTGAAGATTGTGCAATACTTGTCACCATGATGTGTCTGCTATGTAAACAATAAATGCACTTCAAAAGACCACAACTTCCAAGTCAATTTTATGGCAGAATCCCTGTTGCTACCGAAAATATTTTATTTCAGTGGCATAAACCAAAACAAACATGTACCCCACATAGTGACCTTGATGCTTGATACGTTCCATAATTAGTTGATTGCCGCGCGCATGCAGTAACTGCATGACGTAAGGAAAACCCCAAGCCTGGTTGGTCGCTATTTATGTAAACACTTAAAATAGTAACACCCTAATATGCACAGAATGCCCTCATGAATGATCAATCTTTACGACATCATACTTTACATGCTAGTTTTTGTATTAAATGTGTGATTTTCCTTCTGATTTAGATCTATTAGAAAAGAACTAGATTTTTTCTTTAGATTTCCTCTTATAGCCGCCGAAATTTACTTTTCCATGGACAAGTAATCTGCAGAATTTTACTTGCCCGGACATACAATTGTACGACTCGGGCAACTCGGACAATTGATTTTGCCGGCCCTGTGTAAAATATACAAATTAGAATTCCTTCCGAAAATCAAGCAATGGATAATGTCCGCCAATGAATGGATGAATTTCAAAAGTGCAGAAATATAAATAAATCTGCTTCTATCCGCTCTATGTTATTTTGAAGTTGTTGATTCATATAGGTTATATACATTTGTAGATATGTGTTCAGCATGTCTGGGTTCTAATATAAAACATTACATTTTATGATTATTATGTTTTTCCAAAAAGTTGATCAGTATTACCACTTTAAAATGATTTTGCTTGTTATTTCTGGTTGTAGGTTTCACTTGCCTCTTGCCAGGAACAGTGCTCTATTTAGCAGAAATCCCAGGGAAAAGCTCTCAAAATCTGGTACATATTTACTATGCTATGATAGAAAGATAAAAAACAAATTTTATAGAATGCTGTTGCTAATTATATAAATATTAATGATACATCTTGAAATTAGTTTGTCCAATTTTCTTGAAACTTAGCAGAAATCATTGTGTGAATAGAGAAATGAGTGTCACCTAATTTCATCAAATTTCATTTAATGATATTTTAGTTTATAAAAAAAAGTACTTTAAATAGGAAATTATTTAAGGTGATTAATTGTATTGTAATAAAAATATACATAATCAAAAGGTCATGGGTTTTTCTATATATATATAATAGTAAAAATCTTCTATGAAAGCTGAAGGGCTAGAGCTTAGGAATTTTGTTCAAACCATCATCTTGTGGACTTCCAACAAGGTTGCTGAAATTATGACCCTGGTGTCAAAATAACCCTGCCTGGGGAACATTGGTTTCTCTAATATTTTTTCTACTAAAACTTTAAATAAAAATCTTGTCTGAAAGCCCTTTGTCTAAAACATACATGTAGATACCATGCATGAAACTTTGTCTTGTACATTGTTGGAATTTTTGTTTTGTAGTCAAAGTTTGCCCTGAAGGGGGAGGTCATGGGTTTTCCCTTTATGTCTATATTTAGATCTTCTTGTAAAGACCATTAGTCTTCAGCCCTAAGATTTGGTGTTTAGGTTAGTCATGACTAGTAGATGACCCCTATTGATTTAAGGTCAGTAGGTCAAAGGTTAATATCACAATATCTAAAACCTTTTCCCACTTATAACTACATATATAGAGAACATTATACCATTCTTTTCATAGGTGAGTGTGTTTGGGTCAATGGTCCCCCATTGTTACACACTGGTGAGTAAAAGAAATCATGAACATTAATGCCTTGTTTGTTTCAGTATTATTATCAAGACTTGACTCAACTTTTGAAGATGCCTTTACACTTTGTATGGAAATATTCTGCGACACAAAGGTTCTTACGAAAAATGAACCTCAAGTTATCCTTCCAGATCTTCGAGAAATGAAAAGTAAAAACTCTGAGAAATGTAAAGAACCATCACATCCTATTGAAAGCGGTTTGAAAAACAGTTTGTGTAAGAAAGGGATGCAAGGTGTTAGTAATGATGTCCCTTGTGTATGCTGTGACAATGAGCTCAAGATCAGGTTAGAACATGTTGAGAATCGTCAATGTTGTAATCTATGTAAAAATCAAAAGCATACTAAACAATCTTTCAATGAAAAAACTGTTAAAAACTGTCCTTGTGTTACTAAAACTGAACTTTCTCGTATTTGTGAACTAGATTATGAAAACACACAGGATAAGCGTTTACTTAATGAAAAAATAAAAGAGAAATTCAGTAATGATAAATGTAAGAAAGTTTCACTGCTGGCAAGAAGAAAATATGAAGTTTTAAGTAGTAGAGACCCTGAATGTTCTATGGTTAGTGAATGGAAGACTTTACAACAAAACGAAGGCTCTTGCTCCAACTTTGACCTTTCTAATGAGAGCGGTATAGTGGAATCTGATATAACTTCACAGTACAATAGTTCCATGGCAAGAAGCATGAGAAAGTTTGCCTTACCTAAAGCAGGCAATTGTGAACGATGTAGTATAGAAAGAATGGCAACAGAAGAACAGATTCAGAGAAGTAATATAGATGGTGAAACACTATACAGGACGACTAATGACACATGCATTAACAGTTCTCTCAATATACATAGCTGTGTGCTACATTGTGGACAAGATTCATGTACAGTGAGTATAGTAAATTAGTTGTTTTACAAAACATGTTTCATTCATGGTTATGAATATGAATTGTCCCATGTCAATTACAGTCTTGATAGTTTGGTGAGAGATTGACAAAGCAAGACTTGGGACATCGCCTTCAGAGTTCAAACTGAATCTGACCTTGACTTTTAAACGACCTTGACCTTTAAGGTGAAATTAATGAATTTTGCTTCAATTGGCTATAACCTTGTAATTTACAAATTTGATTTATGCTTGTACAAGATGATGTGGTAAAAAAAACATGTGCCCTTCAAATAACGTTCAAGATCAAGTTATTGAATTTTGCTTAACTCATTTAATACTTGAACAAAACAACACTTATGAGGAAAACCAACATGTTGAATAATTAAAGTAAGAACTTTTCTGTGATCTATTTTGCACCTGTTGTTGCTAGTAATAACCAGTATTTGGCAGGGGATAAAAATTTCTACAAAGTCTCTTGTTACTTTAGATGTTACACTTTTTTTCTGGTCTTATTTAAGGTTCTACAAGAAAAGAATGCCCAAGACCATGATCCATGTAGCAGGGAAGCTGAATTAAAGCCTGGGAGCAATGATATGGTATCACATAACACTCGGGCTATTGACATTTCCATTGTTTCTGCTGTTGTACCTTCCTTAAAACAGTTTATTGAAAATCACAGGTATAAAGTTTATTCTTTATGAATTTTTAAGTTTGTATGAGTGATAATTGTAATAGGGATGCAGTTATATGTAGAAAAATTTTTTTTTTTGATACATGATCACCATAATTAAGCCCTGTCACAGAAAAAAACTGAAGATGTAAATAAAGCTTTAATGCTATTGCTAAGACAAAAACTTAAGATGCTACAAATGGAAAGCAATAACTTACAGATGCTACCTTAGTATGTGGTCTTTTTACCATAATTCACTTAAAAATGTTGGCAGGAAGGATTATTGATTTCACAATGAAGCCACCATTGTTGTAAAGTTATACTTTCGACCTTTTCATGTATTCACCTTGAAAAAACACACTCGTACAACAGGTCATTTACATGTAAGTGATTAAATGCTCTCTACAGCTAACGATTTTGCGACTCCGTAAATATGGTATTGCACGGCAGTGCATATATTTTGACGTGACGTCATTAGCGTTATACAAACATAGTGTAAAGACACGCTAAATGTTAGCGTTATACTATAGACGCGTCAATGAAAAATGACTCTTATTTCACTTTAAACGGTTTTTATTTTGGGTATGTGATAAATAGAATATTAAATTCATGTAAGTTCATTACTGAATTTATTGCAGTCGTTGAATAAAATAATATTATGCTTGCCAGAGGCTCGCATGATATAATTTTATTCAACTCGTGCAATAAATTCAGTATTGAACTTACACTCATTCAATATCCTCTAAGTACAATAAATATGTGTATAATTTATCCACATAAATGTATCAACTGAGGAAGCTTAACAAAGCGAAACATGTTTTGATACTTAAATTTGTGTTGGTTTTTGATCCAATTGTCTTATTATTTATCTAGGAACTGTCCTTACCGAGCTTTGTTAAATCATCATTGTCCAGCTGAAGTATACAAAACAAACCATTCAGGTCCTAGGATCAGGAGAGGTAATGTCTAGTTATAATTCGTATATCATTACTGAATAAACTTTTTCTCAGAAAATAATATACTTAGGCACTATTTTCAATGTTTTCAGATGACAATAAAGCTGCGTGCCTCCAGATGAGCCAAAAATATTTCAAGAAAATCAAACTTGAGAAAAATGTACAAAGATTTGAAGAAAAGTAAAAAGATTCAAAATTTAAGTAGCAATTTACAGGTTATGTGCAATAAATGACTGTTTTTGCAGAATATTAGTATATATTACCATATTTAGACTGTTACTAACACAGGGCTACTTTTGCATATTTTGGTATTTTGCATGGATTGTAAGTGTTTGCTATGGATAAATTGCTTTCTTTGTTTACTGTGCAATATTTTATTGTTAAATAAATTTTCAAAACTTTTATAAAAATTGGCATGAATCTGGAGGCATGCTGCTTTGAGTCTTATATTAGTCATTTGACTCTCCCTGCTAATTCAGCAAGTGTGAGGGATTAGTAGTTGGTCACTTGTGGAGAAATGGATAATTACTGGCTAGTTATCCAGATTTGTGCTAAAACCTTTTCATGAACATATTTTGATAGGAAATCAGTGTGTTATAGTACTTGATTATTGAATGTAGTTAACCTCAGAATTAGCATAACAAAATAAATCAATATTAGATACTGTAATATTACCATTCAAATTGTACATAAATTTGCATTCATCACTTCATTGAATCCTAAAATTGTAATTCTTAGTAATATACAATGTACTTTAATGAAAAGGAAGGGTGTCTTTCTTTATATAGGGGCTACTTTATGCTTGACATTGCTCAGTTTTATTGGCTTTGTGTATAAGTTTTCTTAATGATTTTTATGGCATTCCCTATAATGATTATTAAATGATGTGATTTAAGGTTTCCTTAGAAGTTCTCGGAGAAATACAGCATCAAATTTGTTGAGAAGTCATCATCATCCTAGAAAGGTATTTACAATATATATTTAAACATGAAGTCTTAAAATATAAAAGAGAATTTATATATGCCAAAATGATTATATACATGTACCATAAAATGTATGCCATAATGGTACATATACTATAAGGGTAGTATTATGTTATACCCCTGGTCTTCCATCATTTTGTCGGTCTATAAGCAATTTTTTTAAGTGGATGTGTATTTTGTGGCCCATGAAAGAAAATTAATGATGATACCTGTGACGCAACATGCCTTATTAAAGGACAAGATTAATTTTTATTGTCTTATATGCTGTTTTTGTCATTATTGAGTATCCACGAATTCTCCCAAAAAATGTCACTGATTTTGACAAAACTCCTTAGGATTGATCCTTAAATGACCTTTTACAAAAGCAGTATGCACAAGAAGGTAAAAGGAGCTAAAAGAGTCTTTAAATTAAAATTAAATCTTATTGTCCTTTAAACTTATAATATAAATTATGCCTCATGAGATTGTGAAAGGTGGAAAATGAATATCCGCTCTCTATATTTAAATTAGTTTTTAAGCAGACAATCCGATTCCCGATCTTCTATTTTTAGAAAAGAATGTCTCTGAGACGTTATAAATAAATCTTGGGAATTTTTTTTGAAGAAGGTATAACAGTGATATGATGTATTTTTTCCAACATAAAATTATTGAAATACTTAGTTTAAAACAACAAGTAATTGTTTTTCCAACAGACAATAAAAGCCAAAGGCTGCTTTAAAAATGTGTATGTATGATATTTGTATTTATGTGTGTGTTTTATGTACTAATCTCAATACATGTATATCTATTAATTCTATTACAGGTATTCCTGTTTCTCAGAGCCTGTATAATGAAGGTGCTACCAGTTAAACTGATAGGAACAAAACATAATCTGAATGTTATACTGAAAAGTAAGATTCTGATATAGTTTTTATACCATTAAAGCATGTGCAATGAGATGGCATACAGTGATTGTATTGTGCAAGAAGTATTACCTCGGTGACCTGTGTTCAAATTACTATCCTTTGGGTCTGATAGGCGAAGTCCTTAGCACACAGACTTAAGTGAACCTGAGCATGAAGTTTAGACAAATAAGAAGGTTTATTGTCTTTAGATTCAGCTGGAGTGACATAAAGTAGTTGTTGTACAGGATCATGACAAAATCTATCAGAGTGGTCGAAAATGGTTAGATACTTTAAAATGTAATACTTATTTTAGTATTTAGGCTTGTTTAATTATTGATCTTTTTTTCCCCCCAGATATATCAAAGATGATATCATTAGGGAAGAATGACAGATTGACACTTGGCCAGCTTATGAATGGAATGAAGGTACAGAAATATTGCAAATAATGTTTTATGTCCCTGAAGGTCAGCATATCTTGATGGCAGGTACTCTCTGTCCAATATTTTGTGGGGCTGTCTCTTAGCAACCAATGAAATGAATTTCAACAAAACTTTCTAGCAAGCCTCACTACCTAGAAGAGGTATGCATACAAGCAGAATGCTCGGGTTCAATACTTTAAGTTGTTGGCGGGATTCCGACAAAACGTCCAAGGAGTAATCAGTATCAACCCTAGTTGTACATATCACTGGCACTTTCTGCTTCACGGCCACCAAAGCTCAAAATAGATTAACTTTATTTAGTTTTCACAGGTCATAATGCTGGCAGGATTTCAATGAAATGTCGCAGGACTATCAGAACCCTTCCTTGTTGTGCACACTGCCAACACGTTCTGCTTCATAATTCCGTATGTATCTTTTAAAAGTTAAACAATGTATAGACTAATGTTAAGATGTATTAATCATGCATGAGATTACATTTAGACCAATAAAAAGTTTGTGTTCCGTGCAGTACTTCTTTAGCTGTGTTGATGAAAGCTTGAACCCTACAAAACCTAAACTTTTCCTTAATCTGATGATGGTGCAAGGGTTTCAAAGTTTTTTGTCTTCATAATTAGTTTGTTTTTTATTGGATCAGACAACAGAAGTTGACTGGTTGAGACCAACTACTTCAAACAGTTTAAGACTACACCTGTTGGCTAGACTGGTACTTTGGTTGTTTACCTACAGTCTTACTCTATTGAAGACCTACTTCTACATTACTGATACTGCATTTCTCAGATATAAGATGGTATATTATAGACAAGTTACCTGGAATAAACTACATATATATGGATTCAAAGGTAAACATTGTAAAATATGACATTACCAGGTTCTGTCATTTTATGTTGGCAAATTTCTGATCAGTAGTAATAAAGTGATGATATTTATTTTATGCCTTAGAGTGAATTACTAATATATAGATTTAAGTTTTCTTTCATATCAAATGGGATTATCTACTTTTTACACTGGTGCTATAAAAACCTGTTTTTCACCCCTGTGTAAGACAGGTCACATGCTTTAAATGTCATTCCCATGCGCCTTTATGAGTAAATTGCTTTCTTAGAATGATGCAATTTTGCCGTTATGAATGAAGTTGTAAATTCATACGCTACTATAAGAAACAAGTGCTAAATGAAAATATTAATTCTGAAATATTATTAATGTTATATCAAACTTGAAACACTGGCTTTTGTCGCAGATGGAATATCTAGCCTTCAGGTAACTATTAGCGGACATTGGCAAAGCCACGTGACCACTTTAAGCAGTTATCAGATGTACTTTTTTGATGGCACTGTGTATGTCATCTGTCATTAATTTTTAGCTCGACTATTCGATAAGAATAAGTAGAGCTATTGCAGTCACCCGAGCGTCGGCGTCGGTGTAACCACTTGTGTTAAAGTTTTTGTAATAGTTCAAATATTTTCAAAGTCCATAGACATATGGCTTTGAAACTTTGCAAACTTGTTCACCATCATGACCCCAACCTGTAGACAAGAGGAGGTAACTCTATCAAGCATTTTGACAGAATTATGCCCCTTTTTCGACTTAGAATTTACGTTAAAGTTTTTGTAATAGTTCAAATATTTTCAAAGTCCATTGACATATGGCTTACCGACAGCTCTTGTTCATTTGCTCATCATTATCCACAATTGTCACAAAAGCCAAAATTACATTTTAAAATGAAGTCCTAAAATAATTGCATTTTTGTGATAATTATCTTATTCTTGTATTGGTCTTTTACTAGTTATGAAGATTTTTATGCCACCTCATCATCTGCGATGCGGTGGCATATAGCGATTCACCTGTGTGTATGTGTGTGTGTGTGTGTGTGTGTGTGTGTGTGTTTGTTTGTGTGTGTGTGTGTGTGTGTTATATAGATTATATAGTGAAATTAAAAAATCTTCTTGTGAAAAACCACTAGTCCAATTTCAACCAAACTTGGCAGGATTGATCCTTGGGTGAAGGGGTTCCAAAGTTGTTGAAAGAATTTTATTCCATGCAGAAATCTGGTTGCCATGGCAACCAAAAGGAATTAAAAGAATAAATTTAAAAAATCTTCTTGTAAAGACCCAAAAGGCCTAGAGCTTAGATATTTTGCATAAGGCATTGTCTGGTAGACCTCTACCAAGATTGTTCAAATAATAGCCCTGGGGTCAAAATCGGCCCGCCCTGGGGGTCATTGATTTTCACTATATGTACATATAGTAAAAACTTAAAATACCTTCTTGTAAAGACTGAAAAAGACTAGAGCTTAGATATTTTGCATAAGGCATTGTCTGGTAGACCTCTACCAAGATTGTTCAAATTATAGCCCTGGGGTCAAAATTGGCCCGGCCCCGGGGTGTCATTGATTTTCACTATATGTACATATAGTAAAAACTTAAAATACCTTCTGTAAAGACCCAAAAGGCCTAGAGCTTAGATATTTTGCATAAGGCATTGTCTGGTAGACCTCTACCAAGATTGTTTCAAAATTATAGCCCTAGGGTCAAAAATTGCCCCTGCCCCGGGGGTCCCCATTGATTTTCACTATATGTACATATAGTAAAACTAAGAATTACCTTTTTTGTAAAGACCCAACAGGCTAAGAGCTTAGATATTTTGCATAAGGCATTGTCTGGTAGACCCTTACCAAGATTGTTCAAATTATAGCCCTGGGGTCAAAATCGGTCCCGCCCCGAGTGTCATTGATTTTCACTATATGTACATATAGTTTAAAACTTAAAATACCTTCTTGTAAAGACCCAAAAGGCCTAGAGCTTAGATATTTTGCATAAGGCATTGGTCTGGTAGACCCTTTACCAAGATTGTCCAAATTATAGCCCTGGGGTCAAAATCGGCCCCGCCGGGGGTCATTGGTTTTCCTTATATGTATATAGTAAAAACTTATAGTAAAAACTTTAAAAAAATTTTTTCTAGCAATTGACAAATGCTAGAGGTTAGATATTTTGCATTGAACAATTGTGAAGTGAACTTCTAGCAAGATGTTTTGTTGAATTATAGCCCCTGGTGTCAAAAATTTGCCACCCGTCCCAGGGGGTCATTGATTTTAAATAATATATATAGTAAAAAATCTTATTGTCTGAAGGTACAAGGCTTAGAGCTTTAATATTTGTTAAATGATATCATCTATAGGAACTCTACAAAATTGTTCAAATTTTGCCTCCAGTGTCAAAATTAGCCCCCCCCGGGGCCATATAGGTTTTCCTTATATGTATAAAGTAAAAACTTAAAAAATCATCTTCTTTAAATTTACAAAGACTAGAGTTAAGATATTTTGCATGAAACATTATGTAGTGAACCTCTAGCAAAGATTGTACAAAATTATAGCCCTGGGGTCAAAAATTGGCCCCACCCCCAGGGTCATTGATTTTTATCAACTATGTACACATAGTAAAAAAATAAAAAATATTTTTTGTCTGAAGGAACAAGGGATAGAGCTTTGATGTTTGGCTATATAATATCATCTATAAGGTCCTCTACTAAAGTTGTTCAAATTTTTCCCCTGGTGTTCAAAATTGGCCCACTGCCCCGGGGCAGTGATTCTCATTATGTACACATAGTAAAAACAGAAAATAAAACAAATGTTTTCTGAATGGGAGAAAGCTACAGCTTAGATATTTGACTTGAAAAGTTTGTTTGGTGGACCTGTATCAAGAATGTACCTAGATTTTGTTTGATGTGACCTACCTTTCCTTGTCCTTTGATGTACAGCTTATGACATTTAAACCCTGTGCACAGATTAAGATGTAAAGTGAACTTTGATTTCAGCTGACCTAGATTTTTGACAAAGTGTCTTACTGTGTTGTCCTTTTGATGTAGTCATGAAATTTAGGCTGTGTGTAATATGACTTCACCACCAAAAATTCACTAGACTCGAGTGCAATTTGATATATTCCTACTCTGATTTTTTACTGAAGTTAACATTAGATTTAAAACCACTTATCTGATAATAAGAAAATAAGATAGGTCAGGGATCTATGCTTTATAACAATCTTCAAAAATTGGTAAAGAAACAAAAAAAATCTGTTCCTACACTACTATTTAGTGTTGTGTATTAATGCGGTGGCATAGCATTTTTCTCAAATGCAATCTTGTTTAAGAGGTTATATTGCTCTATATAGATGATTGTTTGCATATATAACCTTAGCTATTTAGCACCCATTTATATAAGGGCCATATAACCTTTCAAGAATCTTATTTGTAACAAATTTATAATACAGACTTTTTATTTGAGAATAAAATGAAATTACTTCACAAACTGAGAGCCATGTATATAGTCTATAAAGATATCACAATTTATCCAATAAAATTGCAATGTTGCAAAGCCTATGAAAGGTGCAGTAATAAATAAAAGTAAATGAATATTTTGTCTTTTATTGTTTTATTGCAGATCTTATCCACAGGAAGATTTTGAAGACTGTTTCACAGGTATGGCCATACCAAAGGTGGAGGGATATAGATTTTGTGTTGTCCATTCATTTTAATTTAAACTTAAAGAACTTTTCCAGTTAATTAAACTTAAAACTTAAATATGTTTTTTACTTTCCCCAAATTTAAAAAATTTTTGCATGCACAAGGGGTTTTTAAGGCTTTAAATTAGAAATTTGGTCATTACCCGTATTTGTTTTTTTTATTTTTCTAAATTTAAAATTTTTAAAACATTCATTGTAATTGCTTATATTTTTTCCAAAATTAAAAAGAAATTTTTTTACAATGGTGAAATTAAAAACCTTTTTTTGGGGCATTGCCATTTTCTTGTTTTTTTAATTAGCAGGCATTATTCACAGATTTTGTGAAAAATTGTTTACAAAGAAATTTTTCTTCTGTTTAAATGACATATAAACAATTTAAAATCTTTTTAAGAAAAAAAATTTCCTTTGTTATATGTTTGTTTTTATTTTTTATTAAAAATTTAATCGTTTATTTAAGTAATCCACTATTGCCTTTTTTTTAAAAAAAAAAGTTTTGGGGAGTCAAGAGTAAGGCAAAAGCCTTGGTGTATCTGTACTCCGATTTTTACCAAAACAACAATCCTTGCGACCAATCATCAATATGGGTAGCTCTGTTACTGTTGAATCACATCAGGTACATGTTATTTTCTAAATTGTTTTAATCCTGAACCGGATATCAGTGACTGAATATACGTATATGACCAGTGTCGACCAACATCGTCCGGCACAAATTTGTAGCTAAAAGGTCAAGGTTACTCTTGAGATTTTTAAGGAAAAGATTCATACAAGTACATTGATGGTCTTGTGTCATTAATGGATGGATTTTGAAATAAATGGACATCATTTTGTGGCACATTGTTAGGAAGTCATTTGTTTGTTTCCATTGGCAGATCTTGTTTATAGCTTAAAACCAGTGATTTCACAGATGATGTTGAACTTGTCAAATGATTCCTCTCTGAAACAGATGATTTTATTGGTTGGCTCAAAAATCACAAATCAGAGTAACTAACTCTCAGATCTTCTTGGCTTAGAGGTTGGCATATTGGACTAGTAATAGTAATCTAAGGATCGCTAGTTATACTCAACATCACTAATTCCGCGTCATCACTTATTTCACGGTAATGGCATATTTTCATGAGTCCAGGGTTAAACTTGGTCAGAATTGACATATTTTATTCATACACCTAAACAACAAAGTTTTTGTGCAAAATATATTAAATCTCTAGATTTTTACATAAAACAGAAAAACATTTTACAAATTTCTGCAAAAAGCAACAATAGTCCATTAGATTTGTGTATACGTCTGAAACAATCATCATTTTCTAAATGTTCTTGTTTGTTGAAAAAATAAATTTTGAGCTACAAGGTATAGATAGTTTTAATATTTAAAATTAAGCAAAATGACGTGTAGAAATTTTAACTGAAACATGAAAAAACTTAAGTGTAACACCATTTACCGCGATTTAAATGATGACATACTGTTTTCTAAATGGCCCACACATGGTCTACGTCTGGTCCATTAGAACTGATTTTGACTGAATACACTGTTGTTTCCTTTTGTCATACAGCAGAAAATACATATATGTCACAGCTTATGACAATTTTTGTACCATAAGTTTCATTTGTTATTTTCTTTCTTGTTTCAAAACGTTAAGTACCGCGAACTAAGAGGAGCACAGTATATATGAGTTCAACCCTGTCATGGGCAGTGATTAATTTACTGAGCAAGAAACTTAACTCATTGCTCAGTACTGGTTGGTTTCAGAAATGGATTCAAGAGGGTATCTATAAACTTAAAGGTTCCTACACAATTGAAATAAAAATAAACTGTTGTATAAACTAAAACATAAGAAGATCTATTTGTCTCTATTAGTGTAACATGTTGTGTTTAATTTCAGACACTCTCTGTGAACAAGCAAATCTCCGACATGCACTGTGTGCTGACATATATCAAGAATAAAAACCCGTCACGGACTGGATATGGTATAATGGGTACTGACGACATTTACAAGTCATGGGTTGATTTCGTAGGCAAGTGGAACAGCAGTGGGTCCCCAAAACTTTATTTTGTGAAAGCAGATATATGTAAATGTTACGATACTATCTGCCAGAGTAAACTTTATGCTATAATGGAACATATTTTGACAAAGGTATGTATTTTAGTACCTTATTCTTGTAGGTAAAATTAAACAACAGCATTTACATTGTTGATGTGACAATTTTGAATTTTGCTCAGTTTTTTCAAAGGAAAATTTAATTCAAGGTGTTGCTTCATTAATTGTTTTGTTGGCCATCCCTAAGCTTTAACACTCATCTTAATGTTTTATACATCTTAATGGCATTCTTCATATTAGGACACAAAAGTCATTAGGGCAAGACATTTGAGATTATAAAATTGACTTTACAGGGGACGTCCGTGGCCAAGTGGTTAAGGTCGTTGACTTCAAACCACTTGCCCCTCACCGCTGTGGGTTCAAATCCCGACAAGGACTTTGGATTCTTTCATGTGAGGAAGCTATTCAGCTAGCTTACGGAACGTAGGTGGTTCTACTCAGATGCCCGTTTGTGCCTGAAATAAGGGCACCTGAGATCTTCCTCCACCAGTAAAGCTGGAATGTCGCGATTTGACATACCATGTCATTGTGACGTAAAACCCATTGACTTTGACTTAAGTTCATATTATTGAATTATGCTGAAATAATGCTGTAACTTTTTGAATTATTGATGGAAGGATTTGCATCAAATGCAGACACAAGTCAAATCAAAAGATATAATGAAAATCCACCCTTAGCTTCAAGTAAATAAAACATTCTATGTTACAAATCTTTCAAGAATCAACCATAAGAAACTGGAAACGACATAATTTTACTATTTTTAAATTTAACAAAAATATTTAAATGGATATAGCTTTATACTCTTTAAGTATGTCCTTACAACCAGATAAAGTATTCTAAAAATTCTCATTCATTACTTCACCTTTACTTTTGTATGTGAGATTTCTTACTGTATTGTAGTAGTTACTGGATTTGTTGTGTAAATTGTAGTGTAAATTATTGTGAAAATTGTTGTGTAAATTGTTGTGTAAATTTAAACGTTGCAGGAGATGTGTGATGAAGAATATATAATCAGGAAGTACTTTATTGTCGGAGTAAAGGAAGGGAAGTTGGTAAGGAAGTTTCAGCGTGAGGTTATGCCATTGTCAAAGTTTAACCCAGACTTCTCATCATTTTGTGCGGAGAAAGCAAAACAAGATAAGCTGAGCAATGTTGTCTTTGTAGACAAGGTAATAAACCAGTTATTCAGGGGTGGCAAAAACAACTGTTTGTATTCCCTAGGGTGTCCCACAGCCTGTACGGACAAGTGGAAATTTTAAAAGAATTTACTATACATATAGCATACAGATAATTTAAGAAATGCTTCAGATCAAACGACCAAGTAAGACAAAATACATTGTAGATTTTGTCTTTTGGCAATATTGACCCAAGTCAATGCACAGGGCTTTGATTCTTGTCATGTATCATTGCCTAGTTGACCTCTAAGGAATTAATGTATGTTATGCTCCTTGGATAAGAAAGGCTTCACCCTAGGAGCAACTTAGTTTACATAGACTTGTAAGTTACATAAATCATGCCACTGGGTTCAAAATTGGTCCAGTCACATGTGATCTCTTCTTGATGTATTGCATGATATAAATTACAATATAAAGAACAAGGACATGAGTTGGTGATAAAGAATTTTCTTTCAGTTATATTAGTTTTGTAAAGGTTATCTACAGTAGTCGCCAACGTCACAAAAACCGTTGATGCAAGAAAAATGAATATTGCAACAATTCCTGACATTATGCAGTGGGAGTTTATAAGTTTGATTATTTATATATCTAAATATTTACACTGTCCTTATACAATGACTCACAAATAAAAGATGTACATGTGTATGTAACTTGTAAATTAACAGGTAGTTTACCAGCATGAGACTTGTGAAACGCTCCTAAAGGCACTGAAGATGCACCTTTTTAACAACTTAGTTAAGGTTAGTTATAAAGTACATATAAATGTTGTTCAATTAACATTTCAGACTTTCTCATCTGGGGTAAAATTCCAGGCACTTTATCCTCTGGGGTAAAATTCCAGACATAACTAAATTCTTTCTCCCACTGTTTTATCCATATTAGTAAACTACTTGAGATTTTGGAGATCTATATTTATATACATTATACAGTAAATCTATATGAAAATTCTGTTTTAATTTGGCAGTAAAAATTTTTTGGAATAAGTGCTTACCTGCTACCAAGCCAACAGTTCGTCGCCCTAATTCCAGAGTGTCGTAACTCCAATTTTGAAAAAAATGAGTGTTTGGTATCAAAATGTTCGTAATTTTTTTCTCTATCTAATGGTAAGAACAACATTACTCTGGTCCTTGCCTGTAACAATATATTGAATGGGTCAGAGTGCTGTAAGTCCTAAAATTGTGATAAAATACAGTCCATAAATATCGTAACTTCTGAACCATAGTTTGTTAAGATTCTAGTCACGTGATGCTGTTTTGACAAAATGGCAGATTTTTCAAGGTATCAGGAATGACAGTTTAACGTTTTATATTTCTTGATAACATGTAAGTGTTTTGCTTTAGATGTTATCTAATTATCTATAGATTAATATTTTATTGAAACTGTTTCAAACCTTAAAAAGAAATAATAACTACTCTTAACCCTTGAGCTAAATTCAAAGCACCATGCTGTGTTATGAAATTCGGATAGCATGAAAATCGGATAAATTGATACAAACTTTCAATATTCACAAGTATCAACTGTTAATAACGTGATATGTGATTGATTATATGATCGATTGATCAATGTTACCATTAAATACGGACAATCAGGTTTTGCATAAGATTGTTTATACTTTTAACTTACAAACAAAACTCATCAAATAGAAACATACTACTGCCATTATTACATTTTGTACAATGTTTTTCTTTACTTATATAAGACAAATTACGGTACTGGTGCTAAGAGATTCGAATAAAATTTACACATATAACTTTACCACTCATAATTGATGTTAAATTAGGTTAATCATGTTTTTCATAATTCATAATTTCATAATTTTCATAAATTCATAATTCTGCACTTTCATCACAAAAATATCAAAAGTTTTGCTGTCCAAGGCATTATGCAATCCAGAGTGGTTAACAATACCCACTGTCATAAAGAAAGAAAGACAAAAACACTTTTAAAATGGCAGAAGTGTTCAGTCCTACATCACTCGTTTGTGGTCTTAAAACAGTACGCCCAAACGTCAAAGACTATATTGTGGGTTAAAGTTGACAATATGCCTATAAACAAAAAGTTTAAAAGCTGAGATCGAGTTGTCTCAGATGTACCATTTAGCGTTGAATAAGAGACGTCATTTGCACAACAAATACTTATTAAACAGAATGCCACCCTGTTGACCTACTCAGCTATTTTGCATAAATCAACAGGGTGTCAGTCTATACCTTTTTGTCAACATAATCATTTTCAATCTTTTATGCTAAAATTTCTTATGTAATTGAAACATGCAAAGCAAAATTAATCTCAGTTTCTAAGTTAAAAAATAATTCAGTACATCTACTTCCAACTCGTAAGGTAATACTACCTGTAATTATCAAGTGATTTGAACCTTTGAACTCAAAATTATCCATTCCCAAAACTATTTTTTAAAAAGAAAAAAAAATATGCTTAGTTAAAAATTTGTCATTCGATTGAAACGTAGAAAAAAATGATTTTTGTGAAAAAATGTTACAAAGTCTTAAAGACCATATCAAACATTAAGGAATCTTTAAATTGTCATATTTGTTTCATCAAACGTTTGTTGAAGTAAAATAGAATTAATATTTGACTGAAACTCTTAGATATTGAGCATTGCTTTTATACGAATGGGTAATTGATGTAAACAGTTCAGTTAAAAACATTAAAAGCAATTAAACGTATACTTAATTGTTATTGTATGTAAAAAGTTGTATGCCACTTGATATATAAATACATGTAGTAATTGAAGTACAGTAGATCATTGAAACACCATAATCCAGATCTGTAGCATCTTTGAAAATTTGTGAGCTTTGAGTTGTGTTTCATATTTTTCATTTTTTTTTAAAACAAAAAATTAAGTAATGCTGTTCTTAGAAAAGTAAAATTTATAGGTTTATTCTTTTTCATGTTACAGAGAAAGGAACTCATTGTTATGCCCCCATTTTGAAAAAAAGGGGGTATATTGCTTTGCACTTGTCGGTCCGTCGGTCCGTCGGTCCGTAGACCAAATGGTTTCCGAGTGATAACTAAAGAACCCTTAGGCCTAGGAACTTCAAACTTGGTATGGTGATTGGTCATGACCAGTAGATGACCCCTATTGATTTTGGGGTCAAGGGGTCAAAGGTCAAGGTCACATTGACCTTGAAAGCAAAAACGGTTTCCGATCAAAAACTAAAGAACCTTAAGGCCTAGGAACTTCAAACTTGGTATGGTGATTGGTCATGACCAGTAGATGACCCCTATTGATTTTGGGGTCAAGGGGTCAAAGGTCAAGGTCACATTGACCTTGAAAGCAAAAACGGTTTCCGATCAATAACTAAAGAACCTTAAGGCCTAGGAACTTCAAACTTGGTATGGTGATTGGTCATGACCAGTAGATGACCCCTATTGATTTTGGAGTCAAGGGGTCAAAGGTCAAGGTCACATTGACCTTGAAAGCAAAAACAACGTTTCTGATCAATAACTAAAGAACCTTAAGGCCTAGGAACTTCAAACTTGGTATGGTGATTAGTCATGACCAGTTGATGACCCCTATTGATTTTGGGTCAAGGGGTCAAGGTCAAGGTCACATTGACCTTAAAAGCAAAAACGGTTTCCGATCAATAACTAAAGAACCTTAAGGCCTAGGAACTTCAAAACTTGGTATGGTGATTGGTCATGATCAGTAGATGACCCCTATTGATTTTGGGGTCAAGGGGTCAAAGGTCAAGGTCACATTGGACCTTGTAAGCAAAAACGGTTTCTGATCAATAACTAAAGAACCTTAAGGCCTAGGAACTTCAAACTTGGTTTGGTGATTGGTCATGATCAGTAGATGACCCCTATTGATTTTGGGGTCAAGGGGTCAAAGGTCAAGGTCACATTGACCTTGTAGGTAAAAACGGTTTCCGATCAATACCTAAAGAACCTTAAGGCTTAGGAACATCAAACTTGGTATGGTGATTGGTCATGATCAATAGATGACCCCTATTAATTTTGGGGTCAAGGGGTCAAAGGTCAAGGTCACATTGACCTTGTAGGTAAAAACGGTTTCCGATCAATAACTAAAGAACCTTAAGGCCTCTAGGAACTTCAAACTTGGTATGGTGATTGGTCATGATCAGTAGATGACCCGTATAGATTTTGGGGTCAAGGGATCAAAGGTCAAGGTCACATTGACCTTTTAATTAAAAACGGTTTCTGATCAATAACAAAAGAACCCTTAGGCCTAGGAACTTCAAACTTGGTATGGTGATTGGTCATGATCAGTAGATGACCCCTATTGATTTTGGGGTCAAGGGGTCAAAGGTCAAGGTCACATTGACCTTGTAGGTAAAAACGGTTTCCGATCAATAACTAAAGAACCTTTAGGCCTAGGAACTTCAAACTTGGTATGGTGATTGGTCATGATCAGTAGATGACCCGTATAGATTTTGGGGTCAAGGGGTCAAAGGTCAAGGTCACATTGACCTTTTAATTAAAAACGGTTTCTGATCAATAACAAAAGAACCCTTAGGCCTAGGAACTTCAAACTTGGTATGGTGATTGGTTATGACCAATCAGATGACCCCCATTGATTTTGGCGTTAAGGGTCAAAGGTCAAGGTCACATTGACCTTGTAGGTAAAAACGGTTTCCGATCAATAATGAAAGAACCCTTAGGCCTAGGGACTTCAAACTTGAGATGGTGATTGGTCATGATCAGTAGATGACCCTATTGATTTTGGGTCTAGGGGTCAAAGTCAAGGTCACATTGACCTCTTAGGTAAAAACGGTTTCCGATCAATAACTAAAGAACCCTTAGGCCTAGGAACTTCAAACTTGGTATGGTGATTGGTCATGACCAGCAAATGACCCCTATTGATTTTGGGGTTAAGGGGTTAAAGGGCAAGGTCACATTGACCTTGTACGTAAAAATGCTTTCCGATCAATAACTTAAGAACCCTTATGCCTAGGAACTTCAAACTTGGTATGGTGATTGGTCATGACCAGCAGATGACCTATTGATTTTGGGTCAAGGGGTCAAAGGTCAAGGTCACATTGACCTTGTAGGTAAAAACGGTTTCCGATCAATTAACTAAAAACGCTTAGGCCTAGGAACTTCAAACTTTGTGTGATGATTGGTCATGACCAGCAGATGACCCTTATTGAGTTTTAGGTGAAGGGTCAAAGGTCAAGGTCACATTGACCTTTTAAGTAAAAACGGTTTCTGATCAATAATTCAAGAACGCTTAGGCCTAGGAACTTCAAACTTGGTATGGTGATTTGTCATGACCAGCAGATTACTCCTATTGATTTTGGGATCAAGGGGTCAAAGGTCAAGGTCACAATGACCTTGTAAGTAAAAAACGGTTTTCTGATCAATAACTAAAGAACGCTTCGGCCTAGAAACTTCAAACTTGGCATGGTGATTGGTCATGACCAGCAGATGACCCCTATTGATTTTGGGGTCAAAGGTCAAGGTCACATTGACCTTGTATGTTAAAATCGGTTTCCGATCAATAATAAGAGAACCCTTAGGCCTAAGAACTTCAAACTTGGCATGGTGATTGGTCATGACCAGCAGATGACCCCTATTGATTTTGGGGTCAAGGGTCAAAGGTCAAGGTCACATTGACCTTGTAGGTAAAAACGGTTTTTCTGATCAATTTACTAAAAACGCCTAGGCCTAGGAACTTCAAACTTTGTTTGATGATTGGTCGTGACCAGCAGATGACCCCTATTGAGTTTTGGGTCAAGGGGTCAAAGGTCAAGGTCATGACCAGTAGATACTTTATAACCCTTATTAATTGTTTGATCACTGGGTCAGAAGTCATGCATAATAACCTTATCACATGACTAATTGGCTGCTGATAGGGGGCATACATGTTTTACAAACATATCTTGTTGATGTTGTTTTTCAAAGTTTAAGCAGTTACATCTTTCAACATTTTTGTGTGTTTTGTAAGTCAAATTGTCTTCAACATGCTGTTTGTATGCAAGTAACAAGTATTCAAAATTGAATTTGGAATGAATTAATGATATAATAAACGAAACCAAAAGTAAATCTGAATTTCAAATATTTTATAGTGTACAGTGTTAATGTGAAAATAGCATATCATATGATAAAAGTTTTGCTATTTAACGTCGTAAATATCAATACAATGACGACGTTTCTAAATTTTGATTTCGTTTTGTTTAACTCAATGTGATACATTTACAAAATCAGTAATATCTTATTTTTTTTTGTTCATTTGCAAGGCTCACTATTTCATGTAAATGGTCATAAGATAATGAAGCCCGGGTTCAATTTCAACCTTAAAATGCCTATTCGTAGCTTTTCACACTTCACCGCATTGTCTGGATTTCTATTATTGACTTTTAAAACTAAATTTACTGTTTTGATCCTGATCACATTACATGCTCTGTGGTGCCTAAATAAATGTGGATCCAGACTATTCGTTAAAGCATTCAATTTCTAGAAACGTCTAAATTTAATATAATTTCAGTATAAAACAGTAAAATAGTCATTATTTCACACTGTTGTAACTCCTAAATGTAATGATATTTTAGGGTCACATTGCTGTAACTTATTACAGCATTCTGGTTCTTGTATTTTTGTCAATAAAATATATTTTTCAGTGATTTTTCATTTTTTTTATTTTGATTTTTAAAAAAACTATCTACAGGAACTTCTTCGTAATTAAAAGTGTAAAAGTTAAAATAATTCTGCACACTATGATATATTTTATATTAAAATTGGTTCAGTAAGTGTGAAGATATAGCCTGTTAAAACTTTAAAGTCGATTTTCTCAAAATGGTAAAAATACGACTTACATCATTATGGAATTAGGGCGACGAGTTTACAAAAACAATCCCCCATTTTTGGTCCAAATACCTATTTTTTTTAAAGCCAATTCCCCCTATCTTGTTGGCTGGAAGTATGGCATATATGTGTGTAACCATGTTCTCTTCATGGGTTAAACAATAAATCTAACTATGTTTTTAGCTCGACTTTTCTATGAAAAGGGGAGCTATCCTACTCGCCCCGGCGTCGGCGTTAGCGTTGGCGTCACACCTTGGTTAAGTTTTTCGTACCACCCCACTTTATTTCAGAAGTATTACAAGTATGGCTTTGAAACTTACCATACTTGTTCACCATCATAACCTCCATCTACAGACAAGAGTACATAACTCTGTCAAGGTTTTTGACAGAATTATGGCCCTTTTTTGACTTAGAAAGTGTATTGAGCTTGGTTAAGTTTTTTGTACCACCTCACTTTATTTCAAAACCATTGGAGGTATTGCTTTGAAACTGACCATACTTGTTTACCATCACGACCTTCATCAACAGACAAGAGGACATAACTCTGTCAAGGTTTTTGACAGAATTATGCCCCTTTTTGACTTAGAAAATACATTGAATATGGGTAAAATCCACTTATTGCCTTAACCCTTTGAGATATTGCTTTGAAACTTTTAATGCTATTTCACATCATTACCCCCATCTGTACGCAAGAGAAGGTAACTCTGTCAAGGATTTGTTTTAAAAATTAAGGCCTTTTATCGACTTAGAATCTTGGTTAAGTTTTTAGTACCAGTCCACTTTTTGACTGAACTGTTTGAGATATTAATTTGAAAGTTGGAATACTTGTTTACCATCATGGTCCCAAAACATGGGCAGGAGAAGGTAATTCTGTTAAGGATTTTATTTGAATTATGGCCCTTTTTGACTTAGAAACTCAGTTAAGATTTTCATTCTTGTCCACTTGTTGACTTAACCATTTGAGATATTACTTTGGAAGTTGGAGTTCTTATGTGCCATCATGAGACCTATCTGTAAGCAAGAGAAGATAACTCTGTGAAAATGTTTCTTGATTTGTACTTAGAAATTCCTAGTTAAAGTCTTGTGTGCCCTTAACTGTCAAAGTTTTGTTTTATAGGCAAGCACTAAAAAAGTCGAGCGCGCTGTCCTTCTGACAGCTCTTGTTTGTTTAGGTAGGAAACCACTACTGCTTACAGACATCTGGAATAAGTCAAGGATCAGTGATCTCTACTTTATTATGTAGCTTTTACTACGCTCACATGGAGAGAAACCTGTTTAAGATAACTGATGGGGACTTCTTGTTAAGACTGGTTGATGACTACCTGTATATTACACCAACTCAACATAAAGCTGTCAACTTTCTTAATACTATGATCTCAGGTATGTGCATCAGGGGAGCAATGGCCTAGTGGTTAAAATGTCTGCCTTTCAACCTGTCGAGCCCTAATCAGGTCACATCCATGTTTCTTCATATGACGCCAGTACTGGTTGGTTCCAGTAAGCGAACTCAAAAGTGATTGATATAAGCTGCAAGAATGTTTCGCAATAGGGCTTAAATAAATATGTTTAAACCAATCTGATTCGTGATTTTATACTTATGTTTCAATAAATCACTTTGCACTGTATATAGAAGATATTGAATGGGTGTAAGTGCAATACTAAATTTATTGAAAAAGTTAAATGCCAGCCTTTGGCGAGCATAATATTATTTAATTTAACAAGTTCAATAAATTCAGTAATGAACCTGCACGAATAAAATATTCTATTATTAAACATAAAAATATTAAGACTGTTTAAAGTTTTCCAATGACAAAGCTTATAGTATAACACTAACATTAAGCCTGTCTTTACGCTATGTTTGTATCATGCAAATGACATCACATCAAAATATATGCTTGGCCTTGCATGGGTAAAATAAAAGTTACTATTGTGCACAGAAAAGAAAAGCGAATGCCCACAAGTGGAATTAATTTTGACAGTACATGTACTTTTCTTGAAATACTATAATATTATCGTATTTGTGATTTTAGCTTTAGTTTGAAAATAGCACTTGAAAATCTTGTAAATAATAATGCATTCTAGTTATTGAGCAATTTTTAATCAAGTGTCAAGATTTTTATAATTTCTGTTTTGTTTAATATATCCTTAAGTGATAGTTGTCACTAAAGCAAAATTTTTGTTGTTTTAATTAAATCTTAGAATAGCTTTTATAAGGAACTAAAGGAACTGCATAGCATTTATATTTTGTATTTAGCATTTTCCATTGGCCTTGCGTTAAAATTATAAAAATTGTTAATCAATGAGAACATTTAATGGTTATTAAATTTTATTGTTTGAAACTGTAATGAATTTTCTTGTCTCATCATTCTGATGTGTCTCATTTTCTAGGTATTCCTGAATATTCTTGCTATACAAACAAGGAGAAAATTTTGACCAATTTCAGATGGGATGGTGACGGTGATATGTTTCCTGTGGTTTTGACAGGTGAAATATTTCCTAAACATTTTACTTGAATGCCATACACTCCTTGATTGGGGCATAAATTTGTTTTAAAGCTCCATTTATTGATAACAAGAAAGACCTTGCATAGTATCAAGTTCACAAGAGTTTGTGGCGGAGTGAATAAGGTCTTTGAATTCAAATTATTTGCCTCTCACCGCTTTTGGTTCGAGTCCTGACGGACTTCGGATTCTATCATGTGAGGAACAATGGTGGTTTTACTTAGGTGCCTGTTTGTGCCTAAAATAATTCATGGAGGGGGGCCTTAGGCCATCCTCTACCAGTTAGGCCGGAAAGTCGCCATATTACCTATACTTTATTGGTTTGGAGTAAAACCTAATCAAAGGAAAAAAATAGAAATTTTACATAGTATTTGAATGAATGTGTGACCAAAGCCCCCTTCCCATCCTCCAACCTCATGCAGTGTTTCTTCCAGCTCCAATTTTTTGGGGGTCATTTTTGACCCCCTGTATGAGATTTTAGGGGTCACTTGAAATTTTTTAGGGTCATGCCAAACCATATATTTTATTAACCAAGAAGTACATAAAAGAACTGGAACCACTAATTTATTAGCCTCTTTCCTATAATTCATTCAGCCATTGAAAAATAATAGATGAATAGAAAAGAAAATGTTGCATAAAAATAATTTGAAGAATCTCTATAAACAGAAGAAAAAAATTCTTTAATGAATTTAATTACCCCCAGTTAGCTACTGTAATTCATGCAGCTTAATATGTACTGACAACTTTAAATCTTAATCAGCAAGGCAGTTGTTTACACAGTTGCATCATCCTTTCCATATTTGGTCGTATAGCTACGTCACTAGCAGTACTGTATACAGGTAAAATGTGTAACAATAGAAAGAGGGTTGTGTAGTACATACAAGTTTGTTTTGAAAATTGGATAATTAATTGATAGAAAAGTGGACAATAATTGGATAAAATTATATTGTCCTCTTGTATGAATGAAAGGAAATTTTTGTCTGATTAACGGACAATTAAATTGAAAGGTATTAAGTCGTAAAATCAAAGCAGTGCATGATATGTATTTTAATTTGTTGCATAGTTTGCAATGGATTTGAAATTGTCATAATTTGAAATTTACTGTAAATTAATGGAGAATAGATAACTGCATCACTGGAAACGCAATAATTGAGTCTCATTGCGTCAAGGCCGTAAAAAATGCATCAAAAACGCACTCTGGAAGAAACACTGCACATGTAAAAATAACAAAGTCGACAAGAGCCCTCCCATGAATTTTGCACAAAAGGACTCCAATGGAATTTACAGGTGGTGCAAAAAGCCTTTGACACTGAAATCACTTCAGTTTAGACAACCGTGTTACTGTCTACTAAATTCTATTTCAGAGTGGTTCCCTTGGTGTGGAATGTATTTTAACACAAGAACGATAGAGACTAGCTTAGACTTCACCAAATACTCTGGTTGCAGTAAGTAGAATTTATTACTTGTACATGTTTTACATACAAGATACCATGTGACAACAATATGAATTTGATCCTGATATGTCTTTTCAGCTGGACTATTCAGAGAATAATGGGACTATTCTACTCACCTATGTGCCTGCATAGCATTTAGGTGAAAGTCACTGACCAAGAACAATTTATTCTCGGTCATGTATTTTGTCTGAATTAGTCCTTAGTGAATATTCCTGTTCAGGGCTTTATTTCAAAGGTGGGGGAAGGGGCTCTTTCTAAAATTTGGAATTAATGAATCACTTCCCATATTGAAAGATCATATTTGTTTATAAATCCAGTGTTCATTTGGGCATGTTTCCCCCACATTTGCAGTGCTCTTGTTTTACATTTATTTCTTAGTCATTCTATTTCTCTTTATAGGTATGAAAGACACGGTATCTGTTGAACAGTCAAACAATCCTGGGAAATCATTGAAGGAAAAGATTCTATTGTATGATTTATTAGCTCACCTGTCACAAAGTGACAGGGTGAGCTTGTGTGATCGCTTTTCGTCCGGCGTCCGTCCGTCCGGCGTCCGTCCATAAACTTTTGCTTTAAATGACATCTCCTCATAAACCACTGAGCCAATTTCATCCAAACTTCACAGGAATGTTCCTTTGTAGGTCACCTTTAAAAATTGTTCAAAGAATTTAATTCCATGCAGAACTCTGGTTGCCATGGCAACCAAAAGAAAAATCTTTAAATATCTTCTTTTAAACAACCCTAAGAGCTAGAGCTTAGATATTTGGCATGAAACATCTTCTAGTGAGTGTCTACCAAGTTTGTTCAAATAAAAGCCCTGGGGTCAAAATTGGCCCCGCCCCAGGGGGTCATTGATTTTCCCTATATGCATATAGTAAAAACTTGAAAAATCTTCTTTTAAAGAACCCAAAGAGCTAGAGCTAAAGATATTTGGCATGAAACATCTTCTAGTGAGTGTCTACCAAGTTTGTTCAAATAAAAGCCCTGGGGTCAAAATTGGCCCCGCCCCAGGGGGTCATTGATTTTCCCTATATGCATATAGTAAAAACTTAAAAAATCTTCTTTTAAAGAACCGTAAGAGCTAGAGCTTAGATATTTAGCATGAAACATCTTCTTGTGATTGTCTACCAAGTTTGTTCAAATAAAAGCCCTGGGGTCAAAATTGGCTCGGCCCCAGGGGGTCATAGATTTTCCCTATATGCATATAGTAAAAACTTAAAAAATCTTCTTTTAAAGAACCCAAAGAGCTAGAGCTAAGATATTTGGCATGAAACATCTTCTAGTGATTGTCTACCAAGTTTGTTCAAATAAAAGCCCTGGGGTCAAAATTGGCTCGGCCCCAGGGGGTCATAGATTTTCCCTATATGCATATAGTAAAAACTTAAAAAATCTTCTTTTAAAGAACCATAAGAGCTAGAGCTTAGATATTTGGCATGAAACATCTTCTAGTGAATGTCTACCAAGTTTGTTCAAATAAAAGCCCTGGGGTCAAAATTGACCCCGCCCCAGAGGGTCATAGATTTTCCCTATATGCATATAGTAAAAACTTAAAAAATCTTCTTTTAAAGAACCCAAAGAGCTAGAGCTAAGATATTTAGCATGAAACATCTTGTAATGAATGTCTACCAAGTTTGTTCAAATAAAAGCCCTGGGGTCAAAATTGGCCCCGCCCCAGGGGGTCATTGATTTTCCCTATATGCATATAGTAAACACTTAAAAAATCTTTTAAAGAACTCAATAAGCTAGAGCTAAGATATTTAGCATGAAACATGTTCTAATGGGTGTCTACCAAGTATGTTCAAATAAAAGCCGTGGGGTCAAAACTGGCCCCGCCGGGGGGGTCATTGATTTTCCTTATATGTGTATAGCAAAAAACTTAAAAATCTTCTTTGAAAAAACCCAAATAGCTAGAGTTTAGATATTAAGCATGAAACATCTTTAAGTAAATATCTACAAAGTTTGTTCAAATAAAAGCCCGGGGGTCAAAACTGCCCCTGCCCCAGGGGTGTCATTGTTTTTAACTATATGTGTATAGTAAAAACTTTAAAAATCTTCTTTTAAAAAACCCAATGAGCTAGAACTTAGATGTTTAGCATGAAACATCTTCTTATGGGTGTCTACCAAGTCTGTTCAAATAAACAAATAAAAGCCCTTGGGTAAAAATTGGCCCGGGGGTGGGGGGGGGGCCTATATACAGGTGAGCGACCTCAGGGCCATCATGGCCCTCTTGTTCTATTTTGTCACTGAGATATATAGAGCATACTTGTTTCTTTTTGTTTTCTGAATTATGCTATATGTCAAACTGAATATTTACACAAGTGATGTGTGATATATAGGGTGGGGATGAAGTTGGTTTGTATGTAGGTAGGTCACCTCTTCCTAGTGCAGTCAATAAATTTAGAAGGAATTAGCCATGATTTTATGTAACTTGGTGTGGAGGTTGGTCATGTACAGTTGATGACCCCTTTTGAGATCAGTAGGTCAAAGTTAAATGTCATTGTGGCCTTGACCAATTACCTTAGCATATCTGACAAAAAAAAAAAACTAGGGAATTCCTGAGAATTTGTTTGCAGAATGATCATAATAAGTAAGAAGTAATGCACTGGGGGCATTTGGAGTTGAAAAGTGGTCATATGACCATATGTTGATGTGACTAAAATGATACAGTTAATCATCAAAATCAATCTCTTTCAATATTTCATTTTTACAGCTCTATAAGACAGACCTGCCATAGGTTGTTTATAGATACAAGTATCAACTCCAAGAAACAGATGTTGAGGAACGTATATCAAATATTTCTCTTAGCAGTTTTCAAGCTTCATATACACATAAGAAACCTTCCCTGTCACCAGGCAGACAGGAATTCAAGGTTTTTCTTTGGTAAGGCACCTTTTTCATAAAATGTAAGGGCATACTGTGATGGGCTGATTGGCACATATCACCTTCTTTGTCCAGTCAGTAACTTTTGAAGAAATAAGCAGGCTTTTTATGTAATTTGGAAGTGACTATTTTCTACATACATTGCATATTTTCTACATACATTACAGGATTGTTAAATACCTTGGCATAAATCTTTAACATTTTGAGGCATTATTTATGTCAAGTGCAAAATTCAGGTTTGGCCATGGTCAAGGTCATATGCAGAAGTTAAAGGTCAGACAAAAAAATCTGTAATCTTGAATTGTTAATAAACATATTCTCTGTTGTGATGATAAGCATTTGTGACCAGCATGCTCATTCCAACAGGAGTTATTGTGATTGACGACTCCATTTGTCATTTTATCAGTTTAAATAAAGATATAGGATTCAGTTTCTTTGATATTTTGAGGTTCATACTATTAAGAAGCTTTGTAACTAAATAGCAGGTATGCTTTTCATTTTAGGAATTTTAATGGAGATGATAAATGTAGTAAGAAAACTGGTGAGAAAGTATCAGGTAGGTAAACATTATTTCCCTTTGAAAATACTGTGTCGGCATATAAATTTTGCACTTTTCAAATAACTTTTCAAATCTTCATTTTTTCTATTAAATAATTTCTTTCAAAAATAATTATAAATTGCACTATTCTGTGTCATAAAGATCAGGTGGGGATACTTATCACTCCTGTGGCAGCTCTCGTTAGACTTGTGCTAGATAAATATGCTTTAAAATTAACTTTGAAAAACTTACAGGTTGGGTTCATCACCTTTAGAAATTTTTAGAAAGTGTTACCAGTAATTGGAAAATACTTTTAATTAAAAAACTGAATAATTTGAGCACAGTACTGAAATTGAGTTATTAACTATACAAGAACTTGCAAATTGTGGTAGAGTATAAAAAAAATAACCAAATTACTGCATGAGTATTCCATCATTTTGCAACTCCAGGGGCAATTATTGTTTTCTTGTTTGAATATATATTGATACAGTTGGCACGACCAGCAAAATCTGATTTTGGCTTTCTTGTCTGTTTTTATCTGAAGCATTTCCTAACTTGTGATATTTATATAGATAATTCTTCAAGATTTCCACTTGTCTGCACAGGCTGTGGGACAATCTTGGCAATACGGGCAATTGATTTTGCCGCCCTTTGAGTTGGTGTTTTATACTTTGCCACAATTCAATCAGAAATAACTCCAAATAAAAAAAAAGCAGACAGTAAACATCTTGATAGATTTTAAATTAACATTTATTGTTCTTTTTAGTAAAGAGAGCAATTTAGAGCCATCATGGTCCTCCTGTTTATATTATTATAAAGAATCTTTTCTTTTTTTAAAGCAACAAGATAAAAGACCTGTGTGCAGTTCATTAGTTACATGGTATGATTATTTTTTTTATTATTTCTTTAAGAAAGCATATAGTAATTGAACTGTCTGACAGTTTGTCCCTGAATTTGTCAATTTTTAGCTACCTGTGACAGGGTGAGCTTTTGTGATCGTTTTTTGTCCAGCCGACTTTCGTCCTTCCGTAAGCTTTTACTTTAAACGACACCTCCTCATAAACCGCTAAGCCAATTTCATCGAAACTTCACAGGACTGTTCCTTTGGTGGTCACCTTTAAAAATTATTCAAGGAATTTAATTCCATGCAGAACTCTGATTGCCATGGCAACCAAAAGAAAAAAAACTTAAAATATCTTATTTTAAAAAACCCAAAGAGCTAGAGCTTAGGTACACTGTATTTGGCATGAATTATCTTCTAGTGAGTGTCTACCAAGTTTGTTCAAATAAAAGCCCTGGGGTCAAAATTGGCCCCGTCCCGGGGGTCATTGATTTCCATATAAGTATATAGTAAAAACTTAAAAATTCTTATTTTAAAAAACCCAAAGAGCTAAGGCTTAAAAAATTTGGCTTGAAACATCTTCTAATGAGTGTCTACCAAGTTTGTTCAAATAAAAGCCCTAGGGTCAAAAGCTGCGCCACCCAAGGGGGTATTGATTTTCGTTATATGTATAAAGTAAAAACTTCAAAAATCTTCTTAAAAAAAAAAACCCCAAAGATTTAAAGCTCAAAAAATCTTAAAGGTGTCAACCAAGTTTGTTCAAATGAAAGCCCTGTGGTCAAAATTGGCCCCACACCAGTGGGTCATTGATTTTTCGTGTATGTACACATCTTTTGGAACTGTTGTTTTCTCTTAACAATAGCAACCAGTAATGTTAACTTTGTGATATCAGTTTTAGATTTAGATTTTATATCTGCTTTTGTTTATAGATTTCAATATTACTTATTCCTTGTCATGGAGAGTTTTATATTCAGGTGAACGATTTCAGGGCCATCATGGCCCTCTTGTTCTGTACAATTACCCCTCAACTCATTATGTATTTGAATTCTGCTATAAATATTTTCATGTGGTTAAGTTATCTAGCTGGCATATTGACTGTTTATGGTTCTACTCTATTTCCTGCTAGCCCCTGAAATAATGCATAAAGTTGGACACCTGAAGTATCAGCTGGAAAGTAACCATATGACCCCTTTTTTTATGCCCCCACAGAGTGGGAGCATATAGCGTTGCACTTGTCCGTCCGTCCGTCCGTCCGTACGTCCCGAAATCTTGTGAACGCAACTCCTCTTAAACCGGATGGCAGATTTTGCTTAAACTTTCAGGGATGAACAACCTCAATGTGTAGATGGTAGTAAAGGAAGGAATTTTCGCTGCGACCAAATTTAATAGAATTATGGCCCTTTGTTGATTTTTTCACTGTATACTATGTAGAAATTTTGTGAACGAAACTCTTAAACCGGATGGCAGATTTTGCTTAAACTTCCAGTGATGAACAACCTTTTTGTGTAGATGTTAGTAAAGGAAGGAATTTTTGCTGGGACGAAATTTAACAGAATTATGGCCCTTTGTTGATTTTTTCACTATATACCATATAGAAATTTTGTGAACGCAACTCCTCTTAAACCGGATGGCAGATTTTGCTTAAACTTCCAGGGATGAACAACCTTAATGTGTAGATGGCAGTGAAGGAAGGAATTTTTGCTGCGACCAAATTTAACAGAATTATGGCCCTTTGTTGATTTTTTTTTTTACTATATACTATATAGAAATTTTGTGAACGCAACTCCTCTTAAACCGGATGGCAGATTTTGCTTAAACTTCCAGGGATGAACAACCTTAATGTGTAGATGGTAGTAAAGGAAGGAATTTTTGCTGCGACCAAATTTAACAGAATTATGGCCCTTTGTTGATTTTTTCACTATATACCATATAAATGTTGTCAGTGGGGGCATCCGTGTCCTTTGGACACAGTTCTAGTTCTTTTCATAATACATGTATAATGCTACTTCAGTAACAATAGTTTCATGAAAAATTACTTCGTTGTTATAACACATTCATGTATATTTATGTTTCGTTGTTCCACAATACCATTGTGTTTTCCTATAGTTTGGTCTAGCAACATAATACAATTTTTACACTTGCCCACAATGCTATTTATTGTCCGAGGTTACCAGTATGTATTGTCTTGTTTATATTGTTTTCATAGGTTGTGTCTTAAGGCGTGTACTGTTAAATTAAGTAGACATCATGCTCAGTATAGAAATCTGCTGAAACATTTACGTCACCAATTGTATCACAAACAAAAGACTCTGGTAAGCTGTAAATGATTATACCCCCGAAACGAAGTTTAGGGGGGGGGGGGGTATATAGGAGTCACCTGGTGGTCGGTCCAGAGGTCCTTTGCATTTTCCTTGTCCAGGGCATAACTTGAAAACTACTGGTTGGAATTCAATATAACTTCATACGATGGTCAAGCATATTGAGAGGAAGTGCAGTGCACAAGAACCATACCTCCATCTTGACTAATTACAGAGTAATTGCCCTTTGTTACTTTTCCTTGTCAGGAGCATAACTTGAAAACTACTGGTTGGAATTCAAAACAACTTCATACAATTGTCAAGCACAATAAGGGGAAGTGCAGTGCACAAGGACCATAACTCTATCTAAAGTAATTAAAGAGTTACAGCCCTTTGTTACTTTTCCTTGTCCGGAGCATAACTTGAAAACTACTGGTTGGAATTCAAAACAACATCATACAATGGTCAAGCACATTAAGGGGAAGTGCAGTGCACAAGAACCATAACTCTTTCTTGACTAAATACAGTTATTGCCCTTTGTAACTTTTCCATTGCTTTTTTTGTTCAGAGCATAACTTGAAGACTAATGGTTGGAATTCAATATAACTTCATACAATGGTAAAGCACATTGAGAGGAAGTGCAGTGCAGAAGAACCATTACTCCATCTTAACCAATTACAAAGTTATTGCCCTTTGTTACTTTTCCTTGTCCGGAGCATAACTTGAAAACTACTGGTTGGAATTCAATACAACTTCATACAGTTGTCAAGCACATTAAGAGGAAATGCAGTGTACAAGAACCATAACTTCATTTTTAAAAATTACAGAGTTATTGCCCTTTGATACTTTTCCTTGTCTTGGGCATAACTTAAAACATACTGGTTGGAATTCAAAACAACTTCATACAATGGTCAAGCACAATAGCAGGAAGTGCAGTGCACAAAAACTATAACTCTGTCTAGAGTAGTTATAGAGTTATTGCCCTTTGTTACTTTTCCATTACTTTTTTCTTGTCCAGAGCATAACTTGAAAACTACTAGTTGGAATTCAATACTATTTCATACAATGGTCAAGTATATTGAGAGGAAGCGCAGTGCACAAGAACCATAACTCTTTCTTGACTCATTTAAAAGTTTTTGCCCTTTGTTACTTTTTATTGTCCAGTGCATAACTTGAAAATTAATGGTTGGAATTCAATGAAACTTTATACAATGGTCAAGGGCAGTGAGATGAAGTGCAGTGCACAAGAACCATAACTCTATTTGGACTAATTACAGTTTTTGCCCTTTGTTACTTTTTTTTGTCCAGTGCATAACTTGAAATTTAGTAGTTGGAATTCAATACAACTTCATACAATGGTCAAAGCGCAATGAGAGGAAGTGCAGTGTACAATAACCATAACTCCATCTTCAGTATTTAAAGAGTTATTGCCCTTTGTTCCTTTTCCTTGTCTTTCTAGACTTATTACAGAGCAATTCAATAAAACTTCATCAATGGCCAACCACATTGAAAGGAAATGCAACATACAAGAACCACAACTATCTTTAATTGCCCACAACCATAACTCTATTTCAATTCTTTTACAAGGTATTCTGTTACTAGTAACATTCTCATTTCTGAAGCTGTCTCATTTAGTGATAGTTCTAGTTAAATTTACTAGTTTAGAAGAAATAAAGGTATTGGAAATAGATACCTTTCTAATGTTATTTTGATTCTTCATAAAATAACTAATATGGGAGTACCTAAATTTATATTATTTTCTTTATTTACTGACTTGTTACTAAGAAACAAATTTAACATTTATGACTGTTTTTAATTAACAAACTCTTTATTAGCAATATTAGCTTTAGCATGAAAAGTTGTCAAGGTGAGATATTGCAGTGGGTTGGTGGCTGTCAGGTGTCATGTTGTGCCAAACAATATCTTTTCAATTGCTATATCTGTAGCTAAAACTTGGCAAGAACATTTTTGTATGTGACACTTTCAATCTGCTGACAAAATTCCATTCCATGTCTCTCATGACAACAAGGATATCTGAAAGAAAAAAAACAAAAACAAAATCACAAAACCTGCAAGGCCTTAAGCTTAGGGAATTGCCTTGGCAGATCCTCTAGTAAATGTCTACCTGCCAGGTTGTTCAAAATATAGCTTTGGGTCAAAATTGGCCAAAACCTGTGGTCCTTTTCCTTGATAAATGAATTTTAAAAAATATTTTTTTCCCCTAAAACCACAATAGCGTCGGGTTTAATATTTTGCATATAAAAAAGTCCTGTGGACCTCTACATTATTGCACAAAATAAAGAAGAATATTCAAACAAATTACTTATTACCAATTAATGAAATTTAACTAGACAATTGCACAAAAGGAAGTGAAATGTAGAGAAAAAAAAGAAAAAAAGATTTGCTTACAGATAAATCATAATAAGGTGTGACCCCTCCCCACCCATCCCCCATTAGTTTTTTGCTGAAAATGTTTATAATATTCTGAAATCATGCAAAGTTTAGATAAATCCTATTTTGCTATATGTCTATAGTTAACCCTAGCATACAACTTTAAAAACTAATTAGAATTTAACATTGTGTTTTTTTCTTCTTTTATTTAAAGTAAGCGTTAAGTGAGATGCCATGTTTTGTAACTTTGATTGCAGTATAATTTTTCTTCTATCTATGTGTATGTTGACATAAATATAACAGAAACTTGTGTATGATTTTACAAGAATTATTAAATCTTATTTCAGACCCCTTCAGAGTTAAATGAAGTGAATGAAGTTGTGGGGACTGGAATGCCTGAAGAATTTCACAATATTATTTCATAATGAAAGCACACATGTATTTTAATGAAAATTTATTTATTTTGTCAATTAGTAATTGATAAAGATATACACATTTTATGTGGACATGTTGTTGTGAATAAATGACATTTTCAAGCAATGTATAGATTGTTAGCAGCTTCTTATTCATTTCTTTTACTTGATTTGAACCAAAACTTTTACAAAACTTATATTACTTGGAGATTATTAAAAGCATACTACTTATATTATTGCTTTCTTCATATTACATGGTATATAAAAAAACGTTTAAGTAAATATGTTGAGACAGTAGTAATTATTACCCCTCACTTTCTATGTAATGTTAATTTCCCATAGGCCACTGGGAGTTATTTATACTGTTAATGCAAGTGTACCATGTGACTAAGAATGTGTACTGTTACAGGATAACGGTATTTTTCACAGTATAAAATCTGAACACATGGTCTATTTTCTAAATAGATAAAATCATCATTAAAAATCATCACAGTTATCACAGTTATTGTTCGGGTGTAATAAAATAATTATGACGCCTCGGGGAAACATTATTTTCCTGGGGATGATATTTTTACTGTTACCCACAAACCCATGTGTTATTTATGTACTGTTATGGATTATGTATATACAGTCAAACCTGTAAACAAAGGTCATCCAGGGGAGAGACTGAACATGGTCTTTATAGACAAGTGGTCTGTATTTGAAGAGCACACATCATCAGAGTGAACTTTAGATTATTTAAAGTTGGATCTTCAGTTAGGGACATGTTTGACTGTACTTGTTTAAAATGTACTGCTTTTGAAAATATATATAAATAAGAGGATCTACAAATGGGGTCAGTCTACTTACCCCAAGACTACGATACACATTTTCTGTCCAAGGACTACCCCAAGAAACATATATATTGCGCAAATTGGAAAAGTCTTATTATATACGACGACTGATTATTTACATGTCATCAATACATCAAATATGGTCAATTACATGTATGTATGGACTTTTGTCATCTTGATATGCTCAACATATTTTTATTAAATCAACTTTACTGAAAAAATAAGACTATGCTAATCTCAGATGAAATAAAAAAAAATATCGATGAAACAAAATAAAATGGATTTTATCATCAGGTATCAGAAATGTTGCTCAAAAAATGACATTGTCGCAGAATTAAACTTGCACTACATCAAAACCCGGTAACCTTTGCATTATTCCATTGTTGTAAACTATTTTGCACTAAAAGAATATATTTATAATTGTACATTAAAAAAAATACAGGGAAATAAATGAAGGGAGATAATTCAATGTGTACATGTGAAATCGCATAGTTACCTCTTGTAAACAACGTAAAATTAAGTCGGTATAAGTGTCTTTGGGTGTTTTGGGGTGGTCTTGGGGTAACTAGACCTACCACTACAAAGGTATCTACAGAAAATTGGTAAGTAACTGGAAAAGACGTTTGTGATGAGCAAATGTGCTTATGATATGCTTTGCACAATTCATCAAGGTCATGGTTAAACTTTCATGTCCGCTGCGGAAGGGGATTTTGTTGTCTTCAGACTGTCTTATTACACTCACTTGAGCACAGTTTGTGATTATTTTAGAGAAACCATGTGTGAATGTTGGGAATCTTCGCCTTTTATTAGATGGGAGGCAACTGTGTCAGATTGTGAAAGTCTTAATTATATGTACATGTACTAGTTTTCTCCCTTACCAGAACATTTACAAAATGCGTTTTGGTAATTTTGTTGAATCAGAATGAAATTACAAGGTTTCAATAAGGTTAGCTATGTTTTGATGTACAAAAATATGTTGTGTTTTACATGTGTATTTTATGAGGGGCCCAACTTCCTGTCTGACAAAATGGGTTACTGTCGCGGATTTTTCCTGGTCGGTCAAATCACGCTAATATGTATGGTGCATTTTTAGCTCACCTGTCACAAAGTGACAGGGTGAGCTTTTGCGATGGCATTTCGTCCGGCGTCCGTCTGTTTGTCGTCCGTCCGTAAACTTACTTTAATTGACATCTCCTCATAAACCAGTGAGCCAATTTCATCCAAATTTCACAGAAATGTTCTTTTGGTGGTCACCTTTAAAAATTGTTCAAAGAATTTAATTCCATGCAGAATTCTGGTTGCCATGGCAACCAAAAGAAAAAACTTTAAATATCTTCTTTTAAAAAACCCAAAGAGCTAGAGCTTAGATATTTGGCATGAAACATTTTCTAGTGAGTGTCTACCAAGTTTGTTCAAATAAAAGCCCTGGGGTCAAAATTGGCCCCGCCCCAGGGGGTCATTGATTTTCCCTATATGCATATAGTAAAAACTTAAAAAATCTTCTTTTAAAGAACTCAAAGAGCTGGAGCTAAGATATTTAGCAAGAAACATGTTCTAATGGGTGTCTACCAAGTTTATTCAAATAAAAGCCCTGGGGTCAAAATTGACCCCGCCCCAGGGGAGTCATTGAATTTTCTTATATGTGTATAGCAAAAACGTAAAAATCTTCAAACCAAAATAGCTAGAGTTTAGATATTAAGCATAAAACATCTTCTAGTAAGTGTCTACAAAGTTTTGTCTAATAAAAGCCCTGGGGTCAAAACTTGTCATTGTTTTTAACTGTATGTGTGTAGCAAAAACATAAAAATCTTCTTTTAAAAAACTTAATGAGCTAGAGCTTAGATGTTTAGCATGAAACATCTTCTTATGGGTGTCTACCAAGTTTCTTCAAATAAAAGCCCTTGGGGTTAAAATGGGCCGGGGGGGGGCAAGGAGGAGGTCATTGTTTTTCATTATATGTGTGTAGTAAAAACTTAACATCATGAAACATCTTCTTATGGGTGTCTTCCAAGTTTGTTCAAATAAAAGCCCTGGGGTTTAAACTGGCCCCGCTCCAGGGCCTATAAACAGGTGAGCGACCTCATGGCCATCATGGCCCTCTTGTTTGATATATCAATTTCGATATACATTGTCACTGTCATATATGATATCAAATAAATGCATGTGTTGACCACTCCTATATACTTGTTCGTTATTTCTTTACAGGTTGTTATTTTGTTAAATTATTTATAATATAACTATATTAAAGCAAAACAGTCTGTTTAAAACTTGAATAGTCCAAATTTCTCTTATATTACACGTGTGGAATATTATGTAGTTATTAAACAACTGGCGTAAATACTTAATCACTGTAACTGTTCTAATTGCCAAAAAGAAGCAGAAAAAAGGAGTTCCAAGTTATTGCCCAATTGAGTAACTTTTTGGAATCCACAATAGTACACGAAAATTTAAAATAAAAAAGAAGTAGAATAAACAGATTCTAGGGCATAATAGGCCTTTAAGATGAATAATAATATAATATAAAGCCGCTCTTCCGTTCCTGTCCCTTTAAACATTCAATGGACTGTTCCAAATTCAAAGTAAAATAAGCAGTTTGGGCGTAATATTGAAATTGCCATTTAGGATTTTATTAAACAAATTTCTGGTGTAGGTGGTAGTGGTACTGGAAGTTTTGGCAGTAATCCACTTTGAATTCACCAGAGCACCGTTCAGCCGCTGCATCGTTTCTGAGCAGGCTGTCAAGTAATTTACCAATATTTGTTGCCTTCACTTTCACAAGAAACTGATAACTTCTGTGCATGCCTGAGTAGAGATACAGTGCATATAAACGTAGAAAGGATTTCATGGTCAATCACAATGAAAGTAACCTGCACTGACCGGATTTGAATCTACCCGGTTCCACTCCAACGCTGTACCTATTGAGGTATTCGGACGGGTTTTTTAATTCATTGGAATACATACTCGTGATATATATTAAATTTTCTGTAAATCAAATTTAGATATTACAAATTTGATTTACATTCATTTCACTGATAGCATAAGTAATAATGCGAATTCATATTAAATTGATTTTATTGTTTAGTACAGGGGTTAGGTATGCGTGCACTGTATTCTTGAAAGTCCTTGAATACTTTAAACTTGAATAAATTATCCTTTCCCCGATAAGAGAATACCTTGGATAAGAGGTAATTTTCTACGCATTTCCCTCTCTTTCTTTCAAAGTAATAATGACTTTCTATATTTTCAAACCGATAGCTCAGTGAAAGCCAGAATCTATACTTCAGTACTTTGATCTTTGGAGTTTTTGTTGATACGTAGATGATACGTAGAAGAAAGCGGGGTAGTTATATCACACGGTTTCTAATTTTCTTGAAGAGATTTAATTACTTCTTGTCAAAATTAACTTGGAGATTTTTGCATTCCAAATAATCAGCTGTAGAATGGAATGTTAGGCATGCGGAAAATTACAGTTACAAGTTACAGCTATAAATAAAGAAGGTATCACCATTATTTATTATACCTGCCACTAAAACAAATTAGTATAATGATGACATGATGTGTTGGAGTGATGTGGTATCATGAGGCCAAAAGGTTAAAGTATTTCCCAATAGAATTCAATTTGAAGCTCGGAATAGCTGTAAAAAGATCTACTTACATGTATATGCTATTAGCGTTCAGTAATTTTAAATGAAGAACGTTGCGCAATTTTAAACACATCGATCATTTGTTCGTAGAATCTATGTGAAACAGAAGTATGATGAGACTGAGCAATATCAACAGGATAACTTGAATTTTATTTACCCCACCCCAACCCACCCCGGTCAAAGGCGAATGGGGGTATTAGAAACAATCTTCAGTACGTGGAGAATAACCATGATGACCTCAAACGTATTAAATTTCATATACTGAAAGTATATTGGGAGGAAGTACAAAGAACAGTTACTCTACCTCACCTATTTTAAGAGTTGTTTCCCTTTATCAGATTTAATTTGAAAAAAGAAATTTTGCCTGAAGCATAACAGAGATTGAGCACTATGTGTGTAAGAACAATAACTCTTCCTTGCCTACTTTTAGAGTTATTCCCCTTTATCAGATTTTCTTTCCTGTATTCTTCATTTTTTTCCAGTTGTCAAATAAGAAAGTATCAAACCTGAACTGATAATGAATATGAATATAATTTTGCAAACCTTCGCTTAATTGCATTAAGCAGGACTATCAATATTTTTAAGGATTTCCTCTCACCTAATTTATTTA